GCCTGATGACGCAGGAGACATAAGAGACTCGGGTTTGATCCCTGGGCTGGGAAGATCTCTTGGAGAAGGAGATGGCAACACACTCCAGTATTCTTGCCTGGAGAATCCCCTGGACAGAGGAGCCTGGTGGGCTGCGGTGCATAGGGTCGCAAGGAGTCTGACACGGCTGAAGCGACTTAGCACGCATGCATGCAACCACCTGCAAAGCCCTGATGGGAATACAGCAGTCAGTGGAGGCTACACTTATACAGAGTAGTAGGTCTCACTTGCTACTTTGTGTAAGTGTGGGTCCTGTACTTACGCAAAGTAGTAGGTCCCAAAATGTGTCAGGACACATTCTTCGGGTTAAGGATTAAGATCAGAAAAGAATCAAGCTGTCCTCCATCAGGTGTGCGGGGAAGGACTTCAGAAAAGGGGACCTTTGAGCAAAGACTTGAAGGAAGTGATGAGATGAGCCATGTGGGGTTTGAAAAATCTCATCCTGGTAAGGCCAGAGGCCACCAGGCCTCAGGTGAGAAGCAGCAGGGGCTAGAGCAGAGAGAGCCAGGGGAGGGAGTGGTTAGGAGAGGATCAGGTTGGGGGGAAGGCCATCCTGCCTTGGGGGGCATCTTAGAGACCATGCCAAGGAGCTGAGATATGCAGTATGAGATGGACAGATGTCCATTGGAAGTGTTTGGAAGATCAGTCCTTCTCAAATACTTGAAAACCCAGAGTTTAAGTGTGAAGTCAGGAAAATAGGACACAGTGCTTCCTTCACTTAGAACATGAGCTGTTGTAATCAGGATTGAACCGTCAGAACTTTAATTCACCCAAGGTGGGGAGTTAAACAGAAATCATGGTTTTGCACAAAGAATTACTGGCCAAGATGTGGAGAAAAGGGAACCCTCTGACACCCTGTTGGTGGGAATGTAAATTGGAGCAGCTACTGTGCGAAAGAGTAGGGAGGTTCCTCAAAAAACTAAAAGTAGAACTACCATATAATCAGCAATTCCATTCCTTGGAATATATATAAAGAAAATGAAGACACTAATTTGAAGAAAATACATGCACGCCAGTGTTCACAGTAGCATTCCTTATGATAGCCAAAATATGGAAACACCCAAGTGTCCATTAGCAGATGAATGGATGAGGAAGATATGGTATATATTTACAATGGACTGTTACTTGGCCATAAAAAGAATAAAATCCTGCCATTTGCAGCAATATAAATGGACCTAGAGGTTATTTTACTTTGTGAAAAATGTCAGAGAATGACCAATACTATATTATCACTTATATGTGGAATCTAAAAACTGGAATGAGTGAATGTAACAACACAGAAACAGATCACAGAAATAGAGAACACACTAGTGGTTACCAGTGGGGAGAGGGAAGGGAGGAGGGCCGAGATGAGGCAGAGGATTAAAACGATTCCGTATAAAAGCACTGAGCAGTAAGAATCTGTTGTATAGCACAGGGAAGTATAGCCATGATTTTGTAATAACTTTAAATGGAGTATAATCTATAAAAATATTGACTCACTGTGTTGTACACCTGAAACTAATATAATAATATAAATCAGCTATGTAAAAAAAGGGAAAAAGAAATCATAGTTTTCCTTGGCCTTGGTGTAAAAATCACATGTGCTTTTTTAATTAGGATAAAAGTGAGTAACTGTGAGCCATTTACTCAACTGGCAACAATACTTTTCATGGAAAAGCCCAGCTATTCCATCCAGTGACCTGTGTCCTGCAAGATTCTGGGTGTGCTGCTGCTGTGAGCGAGACCCCCCCCCCCAGTATTAGTGCTGTTGTTGCACAGACGAGTGTGAGCTTCAGAGTCGAAGAGCAACTGGTGGATACTTGGGATCAGATTCTAGGAGGCTGCCATGACGCACTTTGCTCCCAGCGCACCCAGCGTCACCTGTACAGCATCACCATTCACAGATTACTTGCTCAGGTCTAGAGCGATGGGGAGCGTGGCCTTGATTAATGGGCTACAGTTACAGGGAGGGGTGCAATATTGACTGCTTTGTTCAGTTGCTAAGTCACATCCGACTCTGCAACCCCATGAACTGCGGCACCCCAGGCTTCCCGGTCCTTCATTATCTCCTGAAGTTTGCTCAAGCTCATGTCTACTGGAAAAACCATAGCTCTGACTCTACAGACCTTCTTCAGCAGAGTGATGGCTCTGCTTTTTAGTACGCTGTCTAGGTTTGTCATAGCCTTTCTCCCTAGGAGCAGGCGTCTTTTAATTTCATGGCTGCAGTCACCATCTGCAGTGACTTTGGAGCCAAAAAAAATAAAATCTGCCACTGTTTCCATTTTTTCCCCCATCTATCTGCCATGAAGTGATGGGACCGGATGCCATGATCTTAGTTTTTTGAATGTTAAGTGTGAATTCCTTCTTACGAGGAATAAAGTGAGAGTGATGGAGAACTGGAGGGGACTCTGTTATAAAGGGACCCTCTTGCCTCCAAATATCTTTAGACAGGTGAGCACATCCCAGGAATGTTCCTGAAAGGACGCTTGCTTCGTGTGGCATGTTGGACTAGAATGACCTCGCAGATTCATTCCAATGCAAAACACTTCTGGGCCCATGAAAAACTGTCTTGTGAATGTGTTCCGCAAACAGACAGACACTCTGTAAACATGAGGCACATATTTTAAAAGATGAAGAGTGAGATACTTGTTCTGGGAGCGCGGTGGTTGGAACTTGGTGCCCTGACAGCATACCTTCCATGCCTAGTCGCCTGCAGTTTGTTCTCCTTGGCCCAGGACACAGTTATCTGCATCTGTGTTAAAAATGCCCTCAGCCAAAGACCAAACAAATAACCAGAGGCATTTTCCTATCAGGACCCCTTTATGCAAGGTAGAGCAAAAGAACAACGCTGTCGACTTTGATTCTTGGCAAGAGGCCAAGCTGCCGCTTCTAACTCCAGTATTTACACAGAAGAAAGAGGGTGGATTTTTAGCTGAGATTAAATTAGAATGAAAGCAACAGAAAATGTAACTCTAAAACTAGAGGATCCTCTGGGATCCTCAATGGAAAGGCAGAAACAACAAGGGGATACCTTCTGGACCCTCTGTTGATTTTTTTTTTTTTTTAAGTTCAGGTTTGAAAGCTTTTAAAGGTACCCGAAGCAGAGATTGGGCTTCCCGGGTGATTCTAGCGGTGAAAAACCCACCTGCCAATGCAGGAGACCCAAGAGACTTGGGTTCAATCCTTGGGTCGGGAAGATCCCCTGGAGGAGAACATGGCAGCCCACTCCAGTATTCTTGCTGGCTCCAAAGTCACTGCAGATGGTGACTTTGAGTGAGCTAAAGGAAGGAGGGGGATTTCTTTGTGTGTCTTCAAGTGAACCAATGAGATGTTCATTATCATTCTTTTCACTTTTCATTCATTCACTCATTCATTTCCTCATTTGTTTATACTGTGATTCTGCCCCGCCCCCAAAAAAGCTTGACAAAACTTAGAACAAAGAGCACATGTGCTATAAATGTAAATGAAGTCAGGCCCCTAAGAAGGAGGAAACAGAATTCATCCATGAATTGCCATATGAAATCGGTGGTATATCTCAAGCTTTACTCTGACTTTTCTGTCAATCAGGATACACAATTCCTAGTTATCAGAAAGGAGAAGAAAATTCCAGTTTCTTCAAAAGATGCTCAAGGTAGCTCTTCTGGGGTTCATGTCATTGCTTAATACAAAGCTCTGATCCAAGGCACCCCCCTCCCTCCCCACTCCTTCCCCAGTGTCCTAGCTTCAGGCCACCTGGAGCACCCCAAAAAGCATGTTCTTAGTGTCATTACAAGCTCTGTTTGTATGTGCCGAGGATGGCATAGGGTGCTGCAGTTCATGGGGTCACAAAGGGTCGGACACGGCTGAGCGACTCAGCTGAACCAATGGCACAGGGTAATGGGGTTTTGGTTGGGTCTTGAAATTATGTTGTCCAGGGTGACTTTAGGAGTTACAGATTACGAGGCCAGGAGTAGGAATTTTAGGGAAGGTCAGAATCTAGTCCTGCAGTGGCTACCCACTCTCTACCAATGAAGCTTTCTTTCTCCCCTAAAGAACCCTGGCTTGACCCCTTCTCTGGCCCTTTTTCGAGTGTCAAGGTGCTTTCTTGAACAGGGCATCCGGAGGAAATAGAGTATGGCAGAATGCACTGTGAGGAATATTGATTCAGAGAATTCGTAGATGGTGCGACCCTGTGTTAACTTGACACACCTTCTTGGCCCCTGAAAGTGGGGGCTGCAGCTAGTGGTTGTATGACATGTAAGGTTTAGGAACTAACACTATAGACATAAAGTGGCTACTACTGAAGTCTCATCCTGAGCTCCTAAGCTCCGTTCTGAAGTTGCACCAGGAATTTAGATTTCTTCCTGAAGAAGAATCACGGTTGAGTTTCCTGTCCCATTACATTCTATGAAAGCATGAATTGACTCCATCCTCCCAAGACTTGGTGTTTGTCAGGGAATACTCCAGAACACTCTAGAACTTGTGAGTATGGCAGGGAAAAGAATTACACAAATGTCGAACTTCTGTAATAGACGGTGTGAGAAAGAAAACACTAACAAAGTAGTCCTGTCTGGGCTTCAGCTGAGTTACCTGAATGTCTACTGAAAGTTTGTTTTCATGTAAGCATGCATATCCTCTGTATTCATTGTACATTCATAAAAGCCTGTGTTTTAGAATGCATTACTAAAGAAAGGAATATTTCAAAGTGAGAAGTAGCTTTGGTGCCCCATAGTTGATTTGAGATAATGTGTCTGAATTCTAGGCCAAGTACCATCATTTGGAAGAAAGCTCAGTGACTGGGCTTCAGATCGTGGGCTCAGGTCATTTATTTGCCCATCCTGATTATGTTGATTCCATTCACGTGGTTTGCGGGGCAACTAGAAAAACTGGGGTCTGAGCCCTCAAGTGAACAGAATGAATGTACTCAATTCTACTTGGAATGTTTTTCGTAATTATTTTAAGCAATGAAGATTCTTACTTGTGCTTATTCTTTTTAAAAGTATTAGAAAGGAAGATTTCCACAAGACAAAGTAGAGAGGAGCTGATAAGAAGGGGAGTTCTTAAGGAATTACCTGATCAAGGTGAGGAAATTAATCATACGTTTAAAGTAATTTGATCCTTCCTTCTTTGGTCTTTCTTTCATTTTCTTTTGAAATTTAAGATGATCATGGTCTTTGGGAGATAAAGTACGACAATCTGAGAATCTTGCTTTAATTCAGACAGCTTTTGTGGGCTGCAGGGTATCTAAGGTATTCTAAAGAAGAAATTCAATGAGCTTTTTGGTGAGTGCCTCACCATATGTCATCCTAAACCTAAAGCTTAACAAAGCTTCTCTGTGGCAGGAGATACAGACAAGATACATGGTTCATGCTCTGTTCTTGAGCTTCAGTCTCTCTCTACAAGTAAACTCAATTGTTTGAGTAAATGCAAAGTTTTAGCTCAAAGTTTTAACTCATGCCTTTTGGTTTCTTAAGTCTACCAGTAAAAGAAAAAAGACATGATAAACGGACCTCTTGTCCTTTATACTCTATAATACACTCAAATGTACATTCAATAAGGCATGAATGGGCAGATTACATTAGTCTGCTTTATGCATCTCTCAAGTATTTTCCCAGCTTTGTTCTCTTTTCATTTCTTTGAATCTAACTCTGTCTCACCTTTTCACTAACAATTATTATTTCCAAGTATTTCGTCCCCTACATCTAATCTGCTTCCCTTTTCCCCTTTATCTTCCCAAGGGATAATCTTGCTCAAAAAGACAAGGATTAGATAGAAACTGAGATAGACCCTCAAAAGAAGATACCAAGATTGGTTATTTCTCCAAATAAATAATAGTGAATAATCTTCATTGTTCCCACTGCTATAAAACTCATGGAAATTTTTGTTGCAACGTTGTTGGTTTACCTCATGCCTTCATCACTTTATCCCCTGAATGCTTACTGAGGTAAAATATTATTATTGTGTTTTATGGGCACAAATAAAGTGCTGTTAATTTAGAATCAAAACAATAGTACTCCTCTTTTCCTAAAATATGTTCCTTTCAAAGAGCTTAACGTCTTTTGGCATTCACTATTCGTAAATCCAAATGACATGATATTCAACATCTGAATATTCTAGAAGAAGCTAAGAGATGCTTTACTATTTTATTCCTCCTTTAAAGAAAACAGGGAAGTCCTGAATTAAAGAATGCCATTTTTCTTGAGCCCTCAAAATTTTAGGTGTTTTACTTATTGTACTTCTCTCACTCTGTTTTGGACTCAGACAGTAAAGAATCCGCCTGTAACATGGGAGACCTGGGTTTGATTCCTGGGTTCGGAAGATCCCCTGGAGAAGGGAACAGCTACCCACTCCAGTATTCTGGCCTGGAGAATTCCATGGACTATACTATGGGGTTGCAAAGAGTCAGACACAACTGAGTGACTTTCACTTTCACTCCATTTTATGAATGAACTTTTAAGTATCCCCTAATTTTCTGTTAACCTTGAAGCTATTCATTTTCTGCCTAGGGCTTTTAGAAATAAAAAATGTACACCCTTAACGTTTTTGTGCTTGAAGGTGGACTTGCAGTTTCAAAGTCTTCCTCCTCTCTTATCTCCCTGGAAAAGGCAGAGAGATTACATGTCCACTGAAAACTCAAATGTTGGGTGATCACCATTACAGGATAGGCCACAGCATTGGTGTGGTAACCTTTATTTGGAAACCTTTTTAAAGGAAGAAAAAGAAGTGGAAAAATTTATGGCCAGAACTGTTAATGAATATTGAATATAGAGACTAAACGTCTCTTTTTTTATCCATTAAAAATTATAGCTAGAAAAGCATTTACTTTTTCTATAAACAAGTGGCTTAGGGAAATGCTTAGTATTGCTTGGTTTTTATTTTGCCTAATCTGTTAAGCTATTTGCAAGATAGATTGCAATTTCATTTACTTATTTTCCAGAAGTCTGACTCTGTTGAGTCTTTTTATTTAATGCTTGCAGACTGAACATTATAAGTTTCAAAACATAAAATAACAAACATGCTTAGGCTTTTAATCTAAGCATGGTGTAATAGGTTTAATGTTTGGGAAGTCATCAATTACTGAATTTTACTTTCTCCTTTTTGCGTGGCCCTTATATAGAACTACATAAATTACCTAACACTTAGAAGTTCCCGGTGAGGCTTATTGTAAATAGACTCTTTCCCCCCGTTTCGGCCAACGGCTGTAGAAAATAGTTTTCTGTCATTTTTCCAGAAGCAATTATCTTGAGAATTTCGGCCTGTTTCCAGCCCGAGCCAGAGACTGGAAACTGCTGTTCTTGGTGACAACCTGCTCGCTTCTGCCAGTCAAGGTTCATTCTTTCCTTGATGTTCTTGACCTTGCCTTAGCTCTTAACAGTGCTTGTCAATTATGCCCTTTATTCGGTCAGCCAAATAGACTTTTAAAATACCGCCAACTACCCTGGGTTTGACCTCGTCCCATTCCACCCCATACCCTTACTCCCAGCTATTATTATTCCTCTTAGATGACCTTTTTTATATGAAAATCTAACTTCAATCTAAAAATTCAGTGATTGGCCTTCTCTCCTGAGAAGTCCATAGTCTAATCCAAGTTTAGTCATCTTCTGGTTCATACCTTTCCTTTCCCTTAGCTTTAACCTGAAGGCATGCAGATGTTTTTGTCTGCATACCAGCCTCCTTTCCTTTTCTCCTGGGATGCCTTTTTGAATCAGTCACTTATCTTCTGTTCATGATTTTCTTCTTGTCTCTGTTCCTCTGTTAACTGTATCCCCAAAGAATCTGTTTACCCGAAAGAGGGAAACCCCTCAAACATTCTCATGCTTCTTATTTAACCACTTATTTCTGTGTGCTTTATCTCTTGGTTTACTTTAAGCTTAGGACTCTTTTCTGAGTTTTCTCCTTTCTTTGCATACAGATGCTCCTGTAAGACCTGGAGTGGGCATCTTGCTGTAACTGGCAGCCTGGCTCAGGACTTATTTTAATTCTAAAACAATACAGAAAACTAGAAAACCTTTTCAGTACACACACCAGTTAATTAATAATAACTTTAGTTCTCCTCTGTTTTTCTTCTTGAATTCCATATTTATTACAAACATGGCTCATTTTCCTATTATTGCCTATACTTTAGCTTTATTTCATATTAATATCTCAAAGTAAATATCTTTATACATTACCGACCATTTCTCTTTATCATGTGCTAATCCAGTTTCTTCTTATGCCACAATTATTTAATTTTCTCTCTAGCATTTTTATTCTGAATTTAAAAAATTAGTTTTTTAATCTCCTAAAGAATTTTTAATGTAATAATGGTTAAAATAGAATTAAATTGTCATTAACATGATTTCAGCATGTTTTTATTACCAGCGAAAGTCATAGAAAACAAAGATAAATTTGTATTTGAGTTACCTGAAAACTGAGGATTTTTATATAAAGAAATGGTTTTCTGTTCTGTCTGGAATTTTCCATTCTTAGATTATTTATTTTTTTGAATCCAATACCTGGACATTATATTGTGTCTCCCCTCCCTCTTTTTTTTAATAGTAAATTTCTTGGGATCCAGTAATGAGAACCAAGGATCTGTTGTTTTCTTTTTGGTTTGTCATGTAGTCTTTTAAAAATTATTACCTTAATTTTATTGACATAGTTAAGATTTACTTGCAATAACATTGCCAGTTATTATCTATTTCAATTTTATACAAGTATCGGATTATAGGTACGTAGAAGTTATACAACTGAGGGACAATTTTTTGTTCATTTAAAATATGATTGTATTATATGTATTTTACTTGTTAAAATGCCATATTTGTTTCTGTCAAAAAGGCCAGTGGATTTTATTGTTGAGCCAAAGCAATTCAATCATATTTAAAGAAAAATTAGGAGATGGTCATTCTGTTCAGAATAATTGCAAAGTAAAATTAATCACACTTGCCTAAAACTAGCTCTAATTATACATTTCTTCAAGTTTGCTAAGTAAAAATATCATCATTAATTTTTTTTCCAATTGCACAGCTTCTTAAAATTTTCCTGATATGAACTAGTGTTAAATTTTCAAGCATCACTGAATTAAGAGTTTCTGCAAAATCTCTTACTTTAGAAACTCCTAGGAATTTATAAACATTCATGGGTGTTAAATTAATTATTTATGGTTTAGATAACGTTAAATTTTAATTTCAGTTGTGATTTTTAAAAAATTCCCTCAAATTGCTCTTTTCTTAACATTTTTTCATAATGTTTTCAAATTATTATTGCCCCAACTTAAAGACTTTTGGCCAGCAATATACAACAACTCCCTGAGTACATTTTAATATTTCCATAAATAACAAAATGAAAATACAGTTAGCTTTACTGACATCTTTCCCTGAGTAGAGTAGAGGGTTTATTACTGTGTAAAGTTAGCGTGTCGTGGATATAATATTCTGGAGACAGTGGTGCTTGGAAATGTTCATGTCTCCCACTGATCGTTTGTATGTGTAATTGCTTTTCATGTTATTTGTATATTTGCATTCACCTTGTGTTTTTGGTGCTTGGTAAAAATGTTTATTCCATTTTTCAGATTCCTCCTTTTATCATTCAGTTTCTGAATGACAAAGAGACTCCCAAGTGTGACTTCAACCAAAACTAAACCCAAGAAGAGAGGGACTCTTCTTCCCAAGGGATATTTTATAATTAGATTAATCATTCCTGTCTTGAGATGGCATCTGGGTACCCCCTTCATAGCTGCTTTCCCCCAACACTAAGAACTTCCTAGCTCTTTCATTTCAATGAATTATTCAGTAAAACATTGTGAAAATAGTCCAGAATGTATTTGGGTCCCAGGTCTAAAACGTAAATCTGAATCCTACAGTCCTAGTACCTGGAAAACTGGGTCTTAAGAAAGCCGTCAAAGTTAGACATCTAGGTGTTTCTCTCCCCATTTTTAGATGGAGATGTAACAGTTAACTTTGAAAATTCAAACGGGCACATGATACCCACCGGAGAGGAATCTACCCGAGAGGAAAATGTAGTAAGATCTGAAGAAGGTAATGGCTCTGTAGCTGAAAAAGCACCAGCTCTGGAGGAAAAGGCAGAAGATAAGAAAGGTAAAATCAAGAGAAACCCCACAATTCTTTTACAGCTCAAAGATGAGAAGCAGGTCTTGGGTTCCACACATAGTGACCCTGAGACCAGTAGAGAGGAGTTCTGTAAATACGAGGAGAGAAATGATAACTAGCAAAGAGAAATGGGATGGTTTCCTCAGATAGATACATCCATTTTATAAGCACATCATTTAATGCTTTATTAAAGAGGGCTAATTAATGGTAAGAATCAGAAGTCATGGCTTCTTCTATCATTAGAGATGTCTGGGAGTGTTATCCTTTCATCAGGAGTTTTTTCTCAGTATCTTCTTTTAAAAAAAAAAAAAGCAGCAATCTGAACATCTTTCTCTGCGGGTGACAGTTATAGTAGCTCAGCTTGGAGGAAGAACAAAATAGGATGGCTCACTCAGCCCAGCACCACCTCTTCAGAAGTGGAAGCTTGGCTGGTAGCGTCCACACACCCAGCACTGTAGTTCTGGTCCAGGCTCAGACATTTCTGGGAGACCAGGAATGGTTCCCAGTGATGCCGGGGATCTGGGTTGCTGGCGTGGCCACAGCCTCTGCCCGATGATTTATCTGTGCAGTTGGAAATTTTAAAATATGCCAGAGGCAATTATGCCATTCGCAGAAGCTTTCTTTTGAGATACCTTGGTTTCTGATGTGAAATACTGTGGTAAATTACAGAACTGCAAAATACATGTCTGTCGGGGACCCCCAGAACATTCACAAGTTCCTGGGCACTGATAGACTGCATTATCCATACCACACCTATCACAGTTGCAAGAACCCCCAAACCTCTTATGCAAGCCTGAGCTGAAATGCCCATAAAATAAGCCTTTGTTGGAACAGTCTGGATGATTTCCTGCCACATATAAATGAATTGTCAGGAAGTAGGCTAGTTTTCCATAATGTCTCCTTCTGAGTTGGATGGCAAGAATTTGTCAGACCTAATCTGAACTTTCTAGGCATTTTGAAGACTCTTAGAAACTGCTGGAAGGAAACTTCTCTTCCTCTGTTCTTGACCCAAATCCTCCAAAGACAAAGGGAATGAAAGAACATTTGTCAGATGTTATAACTTAAGATCATCTCCTCGGAAAGTCTATAATGCCTTATTATTTACATGTATATTAGCCTTTCAAATTTTTAGAAGCCTCTATTAATTACCTGTTGAAAATTATTTTGCTTTATTCAGTATTAAGTATGGAGCTTTACTTTAGTCTTTCTGTTGAACAAGTCTGGTTATGCTTAAGAATACCGATTATAAGAAATTAACTAATGTTTTTAGTGATATGATTCCTGGATAATAAAAAGAAAACAGACCTGAATAGATTTTGAGAGTATTTAGGTGAAAGCATTATTGCAGTGATTTCTTTTTTTTTTTTTTTAGTCCAACTGTCCTGTCTCACCACACTGTTAAATTTCAAATCCATCTGTGGTTTTTCCCTGGTCCAGCCTTTTCACTTTCAAGGATCACATCTTTCATTGTGTAATAGAACCATCTCTAGTGCTTGCCTTGTCCATGTGGAGTATCAGTCAGTGGACTGGACAGGCTTCAAAAGACGTGTTTCCTTTATCAGCATAATAAAAAGTTGCTGACAGCTTTATGTTAATTAAACCCTCAGGCCTGGGCATTCCAAGAAGATGGCAGACTTCATAGGTTCATGGATATTTGAGAGAGGTTTTTGTTTTCTTATTTTTTATCTTGGATTAGTACCTTCTGTTCTTGTTGGTCAGATAAGGTCCGAGATAGCATCGTGCTTTGGCTGGTCTGTACATGAGAAGATGAAAATGCTGGTCTTGCTACCACAGCCCTAGTAAGACAGAGGAGCCTCCCTTTCACTATATGGACAGTGTCCCCACTGAAGCCATGCTGAGTGAGGGGAAGCCACTTGCTGACACTAAAAAGAATGTCAGTCCTAACCAACATCACAGAGTATCATGTTAAATAGAAAATACCTTTTAAACAAACCATTCATTGCTCTGGAAAGACAGCGTTTAATTCTAAAAAAATTAAAATAGCTTAAGGGTCCCTCTTAGCTCTGTTCCTCTTCTGATCTCACTTATGTGAGCTTACAGCTGTGCAAATCCACCTTCCCATGTTCTCAGCTTATCCTTTATTTGGGGGTTCAGTGTTCCCCTTCCTTCTGCATTAAGTCAGCTTATCCATGAACTTTATTTTACCTGTTAATTGGTTATATTTGCAAAACTAATGCCGCCTGGATGCTTGTATATCTTTTTAAGACAGCATATTGGCACTTGAATATTTGAAACCTCTGCATCAAAGAGAGCAAGCAAATGGCAAATGGCCTTCACCCTGCTCTGTGGGTAGGTTCTACCTAGGACTCATGGTATTTCTGGGGCTCCGAAGAGGCTCCCAAGGGCCTGATTCCGGAGCTGGGGCAGTGGGGCCTTTTCTGCCTATCGCTGGAGACTTTTCCCGTAAGCCTTCTGGGCCTCTTAGTCTCTCATTATTCCTTCTCAATAAATATATAAGAGGCAGAAAAACTGATCTGCAATCTGTTAAGTATAGCGTGGTATTCCATATGAGAAATCTGAAAAAGTATCGGATATTATTTCTATTGAGTCCTTGTAGAGGGCTTTATTTGTTCCCCACGTGAGCATGAAGATATTGGCCACAGGGGCCAGGGAAGGAGCATACTGAACGTGAGCGGCGACCTTGCCTCCAAGCAGATCGTGGCCTCCGTGGAGACCAGTATGCATACAGGCCACTGCAGTGGAAGATGCAAAGTGCTCTGGGAGGCCTGAGGACAGCAAGCCAGGGAACTTGCAAGGGGTATCAGATTGGATCTTAGAGGAAGATATTTCCAAACTCTGACCTGGAGGAGACCAGAAGGAAGCAGTCAGGTGAAGGAGGGAGTTGGGGGCAGAAGGGCATTCTAGGCAAGAGGAAGGCTGCCTGCAGTTCTCAGTGTTGTTCAATTTGACTCTCCACGTGGTGGAAGGAGGCCAACCTGAAGTGTAGTGGTCAGCCACTTGCCTCCAGACCACTGTTGTGACAGGTAGTATCCTCCTCAAGTCAGAGCGCATAGGCAGCCCTTTCTTAACCTCCTCTTGAAAACATTATACTGCTCTCTGCCATCTGTCTTTGCTTCAGATCATATGGTAATAGTAAAAAATACCTCTTGACTTATGTTCATTGTCTCCCAGATGCAAGAGTTTGCTCCCTACTGATATGTGTGTTAATATCTATCAGCTGATCAGTCACATTCACTGAATAGACATAATGTTTCAAGCATCATGCTTGATGGGATATAAAATTTCAGACAAAAGGAGGTCATAATTTAGTCAGAAAAGCCTACTGTTTGCATGCGTGTGCATGCATACACACACACACACACGCACACATTAGGAGTCACCACAAAATAAATATAAACATTGGCCATATGGCAAACACACGCAGATAATTGATAGAACTTATAGAGGAAGGAGGATGGACTGTGCTTCTCCAAGAGTGGCCAGAAGTTTTGTGTAGTGAGTACATTCTTAGTCCAGGAGGGATTGTCATTCCCAACTGTCCTAGAGTGAACCATCTCCTTCCCAAACCCAGTTGCTGGATAACTTTAGAATTTAAAAGCCTTTAGGCAGATCTAAAAAAGACCCCCCAGAAATATGGCATAAAGGCAGAGAATAAGAGATGTGAGGGTTAGAGCAAGAGATAATTAAGGTACCAAATGTGCAGATCAATGTTTTTGGTTCTCAGCCTGGACGGTGCTCTTATAAGGCTGGATATCCATGCATAGTATCAAGCAGGAGGCTAAAGCTACAAAGATGTATTGATAGAACAGTCCTCTACCCTGAATCAAAAGACTAGCAATGTGTATTTGTAAGTTTTACATTAAAATAAGATGTTTTCAGTGACTGTCACCTCATCCCTTTCTCAGCCCTGACTAACACTTGGTGGTGCACTGGTTTTCGGGTTCAGACCAGGTGGGTTAGGAGAGCCATTCCGTATTGAAGACTCTCAGCAGCTTAGCTGAGGAGTCAAGATGTATAAACAGAAAGGCACACAGACAAAGGAGCCTCTGATAAATGTTGACTGAGGAGCTCAGACTGTGTGTACAGTTAAGTTCAGATGCAGGAGGGCTCCGTGTGGGCCGTTGTGACGGGTGGGTTTCATGGCTGAGGAAAGGTAAAAGAAAAGTTTTATCCAGGCTGATTCATGTCAATGTATGACAAAACCCACTGCAATGTTGTGAAATGGTTGGCCTCCAACTAATAAAAATAAAAGAAAAAAAAAGTTTTATCCATTACTTAAACTGCAATTTAAATCACTTGTACGGTAGTTATACATGGATTGATGGGGATGTAGAAAAGAGGGGAGGAGTCCCCACTTCACACGCACTGGGGTGAGAAATGAAACGAAAGAGAGAATAAAATAAGATGCATTCCAATGTTAAAATCCTTTCTTGGTCATTTAATAACAGAACAACATCTTCAGTAAAGGCTTAGTCTTGTCTTAACACTGTCTTACGTTTTCTGTTGTGCTCCACTTTTAAAGAAATGCTGCTTAGCTCTTTGGACCCAAGCTGCACTTTAATTTTAATTAGTCATGATGAGAAAAGATAAGTATATGAAAATATGAATGAACATTCAGCATCTCCACGTTTTAAAATGTCAGACTAATACTCCTCTAGTTATACAAAATCTTACACGAGGCTTCTATTTGTAGGTGTGATTTTTTTTTTTTTTAATGAATTTTAAACTTTATCTTTTCAAACTTGTCACTTGTTTTACATGACAGAACAAGTTTGGTGGTTTCTTTTTCTTTTGGATTCTGCACCCTCCACTACCACCAGCTGTGACACTGTTTGAAAAGGTCAGAGAAAGTTAGGGTAAAACAGGAAGCTTCCCTAGTGCACTGGGAGCGCTTGAGAAAATTTTAGTAGCAGAAAATGGTTTATTCTGCAGCGCGTTGTGCTTCCTGTACCAGATTCTAGAGAGTCTCCCTTCACTTAGAAAATAATTGATTTTTTTGACCACAGTGAGACAGATAGAGGGCACACATCCCTTTCAAGTTGATGGGGATCGTTCTTCTGGAAAGCCCCTCAGTGGAGGGTCCCCTTGAGTCCAGCCGTTGCCGTGCAGTCAGCCCTCACCCCGTGGCGGTGTGTGTAATGCACGGATCTGCCCCTCCTCAGGCCCTTCAGTTTGGTTAAAAGTTTAGCAATCATACCTACATCATCATCGAGTGACCCCCCATCCAGGAGTCAGCCCCTGATGGTGGACCTTTACACTCACCCTGAACCTCATCACAGTCACTTGTGCAACTCTGTTTTACCACAGGAGTGATAAGGGGCCTGGAGAACACACTCCGGTTTGGTTTTCAGCCTCTGATCTCCTTTACCCCAACCTTCAGTCTCTCTGGTGCAGAAGCCCCCCTGGTTTCCAGGGGCTAAGCAGCCACATGTTTGTATTGCTGTCGCCCTGCGTCTTGCTCCTTCTATCTGTACGGTGTGTGTCTGTATCAGTCTGCTTTTGTTCACTTTCTCATTTGTAGAGATCACTGAAAACCACTCTGAAACACCGGCAACTCCTGCTCCACCTCCTGCAGCTCTTCCTAAGCCTAAACCCAAACCTAAGCCCAAAAAAACACCTGTGCCTCCAAAAGGGGCCGCTGCTGGGGCCAGCCCCAAGGGTGACGAAGTGCCTCCTATTAAAAAAAACACCAAGGCTCCTGGTAAGCAGGTCCCCGTCCCACCACCCAAGCCAGCAAGCCGAAATGCAACCCGAGAGGCCGGTGAGTATGCCCTCCGTGGGGCTGAGTCTAGGGTGCTTGGCTCTGGGGTGGGTTCACTGCTGCTTCTAGGAATAATAGTCTTTTTGGTGTCTGGCGTCTTTGGATGTAACACCGGCGGATTCAGTTGTAACACACAGAATGCCCTGGAGAGTCCTTTGTTGCTGTCTCTACCAAGTGGATATGTTCACCTCATTAGATTTAGGGTGAATAGATGTCTTTCTTCCTGAGTCTCCACTGTCTGCACAAAACCCAGTAGAAGGATCCAGGGAGTTGTCTGCCTGATGAGTAGCGATGATATGATCCGACATTAGTGGCTTCTCAGGGTGGCTCTAGTAGCAAAGGACCCGCCTGCCAATGCCGGAGACCTAAGAGAGGCGAGTTTGATCCCTAGGTCGGAAAGATCCCCTCAAGGAGGGCATGGCAACCCACTCCAGTATTCTTGTCTGGAGAATCCCATGGACGGGAGCTTGGCAGGCTCCACAGGGTCAACAAAGAGGTGGACCTGACTGAAGCGACTTAGCATGCACGATCTGACATTATGCAAATATCGACTGGCCTGCCTGTTTGAGTTTATGGGTGGCTCTTTGCCTTGGGTTTTTTCTTTTAAAACATCTTAAGTTTGCACATTAAAACATGACACCTCTTTGACATATTTGCTGGATCTTAATGTCTTAAATCTTAGAGTCATCTTTCTAGTGAGACAGGGCTCACATCACCTAGTTGCTCCACCCCGCCCCCACTCTCTACTGGAGTCCCGACTGCTCGGCAGAGTTGGATGTTACATGCTCAGTGTCCGCTTCCTGACCCCATAAACTTCAACGTGTTACAAGGGGTGCGGTTGTAAGCTGCCACTGCAGATCACCAGGGGCTGTTTGGGTAGATTCCGTCACTTCATGTCATGTGTGTCCAGCTTTTCCTTCCACGTCAGGTGTGCTTAATGCAAAGTGGAGTTGCCATTCCATTCAGTGAAGTGGAATGAGTTAGCCTCCCTTGTCATCCAGCTTTTAAAAGGATATTAATCCAAATATATATGCTGAGCGGCTTTTTCCCATCACATGCCTAAAAATTCTCCGTGTTAGAAGGTCTGCTGTGCCTAGCAAACCCTGTTCTCCTTAAAATCAGCAGCCACTTTCTCAAAATCAGCTACCACGATATGCCTTGGTGTTGATCTTTCCCCTTGGTAGTTTATACCCATGATGCTCAGGTTCAGAGAATGGCTTAGGTGACAGTATAACAGAATGCATTGTAAATAGGTTCCTCTCTCCCAGAGTTCCTGTTGTCACCCTTTGACCTTGCTTGTCTGGGTCTCTTCCAACAAGCTCTGAAAGGAACGTCTCAGAATGCTGAGCCTGCAGGGCCTACAGGCCATTTTCTCAGGGACCAGCTGCCATCACCCATCAGCGTCCGCTCCTGTTGGCGTCGCTGTGTGTCACCCAGCCTGCCTAGCATGCCCCAGGACAAATGCTTCAAGTGAGGCTGTTGCTGATTTATTTCCTGAAGAGAAGCCCCAGACTCAGCCCGTTCCTGGGCGTGAAGACCCACCTCCCCACGCCCCGCATAGCAGCAGCTCATGATAGACTTGGCTTGTCCTCTCTCTTACTTCAGGAGAGATTTTGAGTTATTTCCAGGTATTTTATTTGAAGACTAATTTATTAACTCTGGATGTTCCTAAGAGCAAAGTACAGTCATGCTGTCCACTGTATTAAAAGAGGCCCGACTGGCCCTCAGTGTGAACAAGAAGCTTGCTGTCTCAGGGTTATCACAGAGAAACAAGATTGCCTTGAAGTCTACCAAGCCCAGCATGTGAAGATCCTTTTATCGAATGTTGGTCATGCTCCTGAATCCTACTCATATTCCATTTGTAACCACCTGGAACTTTCTGCTTGGTAACTTTGCTTTATTTGAATAATGTTGACATTTCGGGAAAGTTTTTTCAAATTAACTCCCGATTTTTAGTCAGATGTTTTACGCTGTTTCAAAAACTCTGTTGGTTCAGATTCTTCCTGTGTTACTAAGTTAGTTAGTCCTCCAGATCCCCAGATGCCGGTTAGCACATTCACCTGCTTTGCTAGTAAAGTAACATCTCATATGTTTTTCTTTCTCATTGTTATACACTGTGTTAACAACAGAAATGTTTAACTGAGAAGAGGTAGCATTTCATTTTTAATCACGGCCATAATTCAATGTAACTTGAGCAACACTTCAGCAAAATCCTCATTTTAGGAGACGGTCAAAAGAGAAATATATTAACATGGCGTGAATTTGCACACTAGGCTTAAAAATTGTCTTTTTTCTTAAGCAAGCCTGAAGTTAACTTTGCTGTTAGAAAAGAAAGAATTTTTTAAAAGAAAAAATAAGTAGAACTGATGTGTAGAAGAAATTCTGTTCTGCCTACCTAAGACCTAACTGAACATGTTTAGACAGACAGCAAGTCTTTAGCATCTTGGTTGTGAAAGATAAAGTTCAAACGTACTTAGACTCCAGGGGTGTGCTTCATATGTTTGTCCAATAAGTAAATGAAGATTGTTTATTTCAAAGAAATATTGACAAGCCCTGACATGGGGGAGGAGAATTCTTGTAATTCTAGGTATCTAGAACAATAAAGTCCTCAAGGCACAGAGACTTGTTTTAAGCCTGCATCTTTACACGTAGTATGACTAGCTTTTCTCGGTAGACCAGAGTTGGTAAAGTCATACATCTCATTGTCTATTCCTTTATTTGTTCTTCTCCTGACCCTCCCAGTTGGCTTCAATAAAGTTATAACCAGAGCTAAGTTACAACAAATAACATCTGTATGCAGTGTGGGTTGGCTCCACAGTCTAACAAGATTTTTCTAATTTTTCTGTGTAAGATAGTTTGATCCCTCAGGAAAAAGAGGGAGTGTACAGCCTTGTCACAGAAGAAGCAATTTAGGGAAATGCATAGATCATAAAGGTCATGAAATAATAGTTTAAATGTATTTCTGTGATATAAAGAAAAAGAGGGTTAAATTTTATTTTACCTGAAAATGGTTTGGTTGAAGGCAGTACTATCCAGAAGTAGACCAACATGCCACAGCCATGGGCATGACCCTGCCTATCCTCTGATGAAGATATTCTTCTAGGAACATAAGTAGTTTCAGAAGATCTGAGAATGATACTCCTTCCCTTCAGTTTATTCAAACACTACACATTTACACATTTTTGGTTAAAAAAAAAAAAAAAGACTGTTTTCTGCCTCGATGTTTTAGGGGACTTGTCTTTCCTATGCGGCCGTGTGTTTTTTTTCCTTTGCCCCATCACCCCTGCAGATGAAGAGATAGGGCAGTGTGGCAAGCGTCTCTCTCTGGGCACTGGGGAGAGCTGGTTTGGAGTTTGCTCTTTTAGCAGTAAGTTGAGTAAATTTGCTTTTGGCCGGAAAGGAGCAGGTGATATATACACCAGCCTCTTCTGAGTGTGGGCTACTGTGTTCCCAGAAAGGCATCATAGAACGTGTATCGTCTGTGATGAGAGTAAGCTTGTACTACACCCAGGTAGCTGGTACCTCTCCACACTATAATGTCCCTTCTTTGGAGCATACGGAGACTTTTCCAGGTGACCAGAGGGCAGAGAGGTGAGGCATCCCCTTTGGCTGGCTCAGGTAAAGACTGGAGGAGGGAGAAGACCTCGTACCTTGGGGTTTGGCCTCAAGCATCCCTTGCTCCCTTCTAGGTTGGGGGCAGGGAGGTGGCAGAAAACAAGACCATTGTTGTCATTTACCTATTTTCCTTAATGCATTTATTCAAAGTTTTAGTGTTTAAAGGGAACAGTGTCATTGGCAATTGCAGCTGGGTTATTTGTGTTTAAAATGTGTTCTCTTCTTGGACTCTTAATGCGAAATCTCTCTGCTTCAGCTGGTTCCTCTCATTCAAGAAAAACAACTGGCTCCAAAGCATCAGCTTCACCATCTACTTCCTCCACCTCATCTCGTCTCAAAGCCTCCAAGGAGACAGTTTCTAGCAAAATGGGGACAGTGGGAATCACAAAGGGCAAGAAAAAAACTGGCAAGCAGCCACCGTCTCGACTGTCCTCAGAGGCAACCACTTCTGGCACATCTGACCTTAAAGGGGAGCCTTCGGAGACCAGGGTGGAGAGTCTCACACCCGAGCAGACTGTCCCTGGGGCCGAGGAGCAGACCACAGGCAAACCCAAGTCCGCAGTTCCTCCGGCCCCGGTGACTCCAGCGCCTCCCACCCCCGCCCCTCCTCTCCCCCTGGAGGAGCAGAGCACTGTTGCCTCGGACACCCCTGTCGTCCTGATCAGCAATGGAGCCGACCTCCCTGCCTTAGATCCAGGTCAGCTTCTCTGGACTGAAGAGGCGACAGACAGAACCACTTTCCACTCAGGCACTGGCATAAGTGTTAGCAGAGAAAATGCAAAATGGTGAGTTGGGGCAAAAACCCCATATCCTGTCCATGTTACTCTGTAGCTGGGAACTCAAGATCACTAACTCTACTGGCAAGGAAGGAACTTACTTTGGTTTCTTTTATAATGTAATCTAGTGAATGTTAGGTAAGCACACCTGTAATCCAATCATCGATTTATTTTTCTAATTGAATTACAGCTGATTTCCAATGTTAGTTTCAGGAGTACCGCACAGTGATTCATACGTGTGTGTGTGTGTGTGTGTGTGTGTGTGTATATACATTGTTTCTCAGATTTTTTTCCCTTAAACGTTGAAAGATATTGAATATAATTCCCTGTGCTGTATAAATGGGTCCTTGTTGTTTATCTCTTTTATATATGGTAGTGTCTGTCTGTTAATCCCAAACTCGTAATTTATCCCTCCCTCCCCCTGCTGTTCCTGTTGGTAATCGTAGGTTTGTTTTCTATGCCTATGAGTCTATTTCTGTTTTATAAATAAGTTCATTAGTTTCATTTTTTTAGATTCCATATATACGTGATGTCATAGGATATTTGACTTTATCTGACTTAGCCTGATAATCTCTAGGTCCATCCACGTTGCTGTAAATGGCATTATTTCATTCTTTTTGTGACTGAGTGATATTCCCTCATATATATAAATGTATGTTTACCACATCTTCTTTATTCATTCGTCTGTGGATGGACATTTAGGTTGTTCCCCTGTCTTGGCTATTGTAAATAGTGCTGCTGTGAACATTGGTGTGCATGAATCTTGATTTTTCATAGCCCTGACCCAGGAATGCCAGGGGCTACTGGAGACAGTGGTCCTACTGACAGATAGACTTCAGACCTGTGGCTTCAAGGATGTTTAAGAGTCTGCTTCATCACTACTCAGCGGTCCTTTTTCTTTTTCCTGAACAGTTTCCTCCTCTTTCCTTATGGTGATTATTTTAGATCTTTACCACTCGTGTCCAGATTTCTCCACCCACTCCTGAAAACCATCTTCATTTCCACAAGTTCATCTTCATAGCATTCTCCGTCTCCAAGAAAATAAAGAGGATCAGAAAAGAACTCTTTTCCAACTCCTTTTCCTCCAACCTTAGAGTGACTATCTTTCTTGCTTTCTCAATTCCCCAACCCAGTTTAAGTGTTATCTCCTCTCTGAAGCCTTTTGATATTCATCCAGACAAGATTGGCTGTTACATATACTCTGACAGTGCTTTTTTTCCCCCAACTATGAGGCAGAACCAACCAGTCCATCCTAATGGAGATCAGTCCTGGGTGTTCATTGGAAGGACTGGTGCTAAAGCTGAAACTTCAATACTTTGGCCACCTGATGAGAAGAGTTGACTCATTGGAAAAGACCCTGATGCTGGGAGGGATTGGGGGCAGGAGGAGAAGGGGACGACAGAGGATGAGATGGCTGGATGGCATCACTGACTCAATAGAAATGAGTTTGAGTAAACTCCGGGAGTTGGTGATGGACAGGGAGGCCTGGCGTGCTGCGATTCATGAGATCGCAAAGAGTCGGACACAACTGAGCGACTGAACTGAATGAGGCAGAACTGGGCTTCCCTGGTGACTCAGTAAGAGTCACCTTCCGGGAAGATCCCCTGGAAAAGGTCATGGCAACCCACTCCAGTATTCTTGCCTGGAGAATCCCGTGGACAGAGGAGCCTGGTGGACTACAGTCCTTAGGGTCACAAAGAGTCGGACACGACTGAAGTGACTTAGCATGGAGACATGCCAATACAGGAGATGCAAGTTTGAGCCCAGGGTTGGGACAACCCCTTGGAGTAGAAAATGGCAACCTACTCCAGTATTCTTGCTTGGACAATCCCATGTTTAGAGGAGCCAGGCAGACTACAGTCCATGGGGTCACAATAGTCGGACATGACTTAGCAACTAAACACGAACAACATGGGACAGAACTAACCCCTGTGTCTTATTTACTTCTAATCTGCAGCAACCAGTACAAAATCTGGTATGACATAGGCATGTTATCATCCAGTTTCCCAAGCCAGAATTCATCCTAGGGTGCTCATTCTCCTCTGCTTTCCAGATCTAATCACTCACAAAGTCCTATAAATTTTCTACTTAAAGATCAATAAGACACGTAAGCTCTCCTGTCCCTTGAGTGTGAGAAGAAGACTGACAGTGTAGTAGATGTTATTGCCGATTCTGTCTGGGAAAGCCTTGGAGCTCTTAAATCCAGTCTCTTCTAAGAATAAAATCCAAATTCACTCTTTGTTTAATTTTCTATTTCCCCTTTCAAAAAAAAAAATCTTTGTCATGTTATACTTAAAAAAAAAATAGTACATTAATTAAGTTGATTTGGATCAAGAGACTCAAGTATCAACTTTAATTATTTATTGACCTTCACCTATTGAATACTTATTTGATTTGTCAGGAACTGCCAGTTATTTAATTCACATCAGTTTCTCCTGAAATATTTCTGTGTAATAGATGAAAAAACTGATGCCAAAAGAGATAAGAGAGATTGCGCACGATCACCCAGGTAGGAAGTGACAGGATGCAAACCCAGAGCCGCACATCAGATTCATTCCTCTGTTGCTGTTCAGTCAGTCGTGTCCGACACCTTGTGACCCCATGGACTGCAGCACACCAGGCTTCCCTGTCCTTCACTGTCTCCCAGAGATTGGTCACACTCATGTCCATTGAGTCGGTGATGCCATCCAACTGTCTCTTCCTCTGTTGCCCGCTTCTCCTCCTACCCTCAATCTTTTCCAGAATCAGGGTCTTTTCCAGTGAGTCTTTGCATCAGGTGGCCAGAGTACTGGAGCTTCAGCTTCAGCATCAGTCCTTCCAATGAATACTCAGAGTTGATTTCTTTTAGTGTTGACTGATTTGATCTCCTTGCTGTCCAAGGGTCTCTCAGGAGTCTTCTCTGGCACCACAATTTGAAAGCATCAATTCTTTGGTGCTCAGCCTTCTTTCTCGCGTCCATACATGACTATGGGATTTCATAAGTTTCCAAACACTTGCTTCTACTTCTTTTGCAGGTCCTTTTGTGTTTGTTTCTATTATTTTGAGTACTATCATTCAAAGGAAAGCCAAGGGGAGATAAATAAATATTAATGTATAAATTTTTTTTTTGATATTTTAGCAAATGATATGAAAAAGGGTATATTGAAATGAATGCTTTTGGTGTCCTGAATACTTCCAGCCCAGAGCAGGTGTCTTTTAATTATTAGTGTTTGCTAACATCAGCATCAATTCCAGACTTTAGAACAGAACAGTCATTCGACCGTATATTTTTTGCTTGCCTTCTATGTGCCAGGCAATGTACAAAGCACCAAAGATAAAAATGTGGACAAGACATTATAATTAAGATTAGTTTTAACCTGGGCTTCCATGGCAGTCCAGTGGTTAAGACTCTGCCCTTCCATAACAGGGGCTGTGGGTTTGATCCCTAGTCAGGGAACTAAGATCCTACATGCCGTGGTGCATGGCCAAAAAGAAAAGATTTAAAAAAAAAAAAACCAAAAACAAAAAAACAAGATTAGTTTTTACCAAAATAATTAGGGAAGAAGATCAAATACATGGATTCACTATTCAGTATATTAAAGAACAAGATATAAAATATAAAATAATTCCTCAGGTAGTCTCAAGCACTGAGAAAGCACATTTCCAAAGGTGACCTGATTCTGTCCAGCTCACTAGCAGAATCATTTTAGGAAGGGCACTATACAGTGCTAAGCTTCATGCTGGAGGCTTAATATCCATCTTCAGCCCAAGTACTTGGAGGATTGACAGAGAAGAGAGGTGAGCATCTCTGCTCCATTTCCACTGGGACTGTGATCAGAGGGAGTAAGCTGAGAACATCATTAGACAACGAGGTATTTATAATAGGGTTTCCTATCAGTCAGGGTCACTATAATGCTTTCCTAGAAGAGGGCATGGAGATTTTCTCCTCTGTGCATTCTTCAAAATTAAAAATTTAAATTACAGTTCATCCCACAGGGACAGTTTGTGTTTGCTTTTAAGTTAATGAGCTTGGAATAAGTAGTCTCTCAAATTTCCTTCCAAATGCTTTCTTCCGTTTTTAAGTGGAGATGTGAATTAGAATTTCTGGCTCTACGTCTCGTGCTCTACTTAGAACTCTCCCTCAGTTATGTTTAGTCAACGAATGTGTGAAAATTCTGTCATTTTATGAAGAGGCTTTTGTTGGGAATGCAAATGTGAACACTTTAAAGACGACAAGTGGCCCTGTGTAAAAACACCTACTTTTATTCACATAGTGCAGGCTAGTAACTATTTGGTAGATTTCTGTTTGTTGGTAGGTTCATTAGTAGTGGATAATTCTGGTGTAATGTAAAGCAGAAACTAATACATCCATTTGAAGCCCATATCCAAATGAGATTTGACTCTTTTATCCACATTTATAGAGTTCACTGTATTGCACAGTGTGCCCAAGATACGTAGGAGTAAAATAAGAGCCAAGTCATGAGTTGATTGATAAAAATTTAAAGTATTTAATATTAAATTAAATATATAATATATCAACATAACACATTATTAGGTATGAATTAAAATATAACATCACATTTGATAGATAGACTGTGAACCTTAATAACATTTGATAGACTTTTGAATCTGGGCTGTAGACTGGACTTGCTACCTTGTTTGGGCAACTCTTTCATGGCATTCTTGGGTTTCACGAACTATACATTACCTGCCAGCCTTATACTATAGAACATAGGTCTCCCCTCCACACAGGGCCATGGCCCATTAGGAACCAGGACACACAGCAGGAGGTGAGCAGCAGGTGAAACCAAAACCATCCCCCACTTCAATTCACAGAAAAACTGTCTTCTTTGAAACTGGTCCCTGGTGCCAAAAAAGTTGGGGACTGCTGCTCTAGAACAATGGTTAGGTTGTCAATGTAGGCAGAAGTCTTTAATGCAAATGATGAGATTAAAATAAAAATCAGTATCATGATAAATTAATGAACAGTGATATGAACAAATACTAGGACTCATTCCTGAGATAGTTTTGTTCTGCTCCTCAGAATGTGTTAATAGTTGGCATATCTTTTTAGTGTGCTTCAGTCACCCACAGTGGCAGACTCGTCAAGCAAGAATGGCCTCCAGTGGCAGTACACTAGAAATCCAGACTGTGAAAAAGTTTTTCCATAAAATAAATCTTCTCCTATTTAGAGTGAGATTTCATACTTTGGAAGCAACGTGGTAGTTTCTCAGAAAATTAAACATAAGATTACTGTATGATTCTGCAGTTCTACTTCCGTGTACGTGTGCTTGGTCACTTCAGTTGAGTCTGACTCTTTGCAGCCCTATGGACTGTAGCCTGCCAGGCTCCTCTTTCCGTGGGATTGTCCAGGCAAGAATACTGGAGTGGGTTACTGTGACCTCCTCCAGGGGATCTTGCTGACTCAGGGCTCAAATTCACCTCTTTTGCACTGAAGGTGGATTCTTTACTGGCAAGTCACCGGAGAAGCCCTCTTCTGTGCATATAACCAAAAAATTTGAAAGCAGGTACTCAAACAGATATTTATACACCAGTGTCCATAGATGTGGGAAGATCCCCTGGAGTAGGTAATGGCAACCCACTCCAGTATTTTTGCCTGGAAAATCCCATGGATGGAGGAGCCTGGTGGGCTACAGTCCACGGGCTCGCAAAGAGTCAGACATGACTGAGCGTCTGAGCGCACATGCACATCCATAGCTGCATTATTCACAACAACCAAAAGGTAGAAACAACCCACACGTCCATAGAATGATGACTCGATGAACAAAATGTGACATAGACAGATGATGGAATACTATGCAGCTTTGAAAAGGAAGGAACTTCTGACACATGCTACAACATGCAGGAACTTTTAAGACATCCAAAGTGAGTATAAGTCAGACACAAAAGGACAAGTGTTGCATAATTTCACTTAAAGAAGCACCAAAAAAATAAATAAATAAAATAAAGAAGCACCAAAGACAGTCAAATCTGTAGAGACAGAAGCTAAAATGGTGGTTGCCATGAGTTAAAGGAGGAGGAATGGACTCTTACTATTTAATGAGTACAGAGTTTATGTTTGGGAAGATGAAAAATTCTGGAGATGGATGATGGTGTCAGTTGCACAACAGTATAAATAGACTTAATGCCACTGAACTAACTACATCAGAATGGTTTAAATGGTAAATTTTATACTTTATGTATTTTATGCAATTAAAGAGGAAATTTCATATTTCCTCATTTGAAAACAAGAATTTTTGGCTGTTGGATTTTCCTAATAAGTTTAAAATTGAGTATTTCAGGCTTATCATCCACACAGTGGAATGTTCAGTACCTTAGAGTCTGACAAAGTTGACCAGTTTTTATCATTCAAACAACTATTAAAAAAAATATATATTTTTTTTTGCCGTGTGAGCCACAAGCACATGTTTTGCACTAAATGGTCGTTCAGAAGTGTGACATCCAAATTTGGATTCTTCTATTTATATCAGAAAGAAGTGTGGGGAGCTTTTGTATCTTAAAATGAAGATTGCATTGTTTCTGATGTAAAGTATTTTTAAAATTCTAGTCTGTGAAATTGGCAAGCTTTGTATGTTTATAGTAACTTTAAGTCAGAAACTTTTACCAAGCTAAATAATAGAAACTCACTGCATCCTTACATATCATCTTTCTTCTAGAGAGGCCACTTTGTTTTCACATTTTCCATCTTGTATTATTAATATAATCTTATGATAATAGTAATATCATAAAATATGACAGACAGTTTTATAAATGGAGAAAATGAAGCACAGAGAAGATACATGATTTTTGACTGTTAGTACACTGGCTGTGATGAAAAAATAGGATTAATTCACATAGCAGTTGAAGAAGTTGTACTTTTCTGTGGCAGGACCCTTCTAGGTACTGGGCTGCAAAACAATAGTCCTCCTCCTTGTCGAGGAGCTTTGCAGGGCTGGGGAGGCAGACTGAGATGCATGTGCGAAGTGCGCCAGTGGGGTGGCCTTCAGGTCACCATGGGAGCAGAGAGAGGGAGGCAAGGAGATAGCTTGAGGGGCAGTGAAAGATTCCTCGGGGAGTTGAGGCTTTAACCTAGACCAAGAAGGATAAGTCCGAGTTACAGCCTCAAGAAAAAGTACAAAGTCAAATATCCAAGTGTTTCTGGCTCATTGTTCTTTCCACTGAACCTCCCTATGGCTAGGGAAAAATACATTTTCAAAATACAGTTTTGCAATATTCATGTATTAAATGTATTGGTCACTACCTGGTCAATCCTTTTCATTTGCCAGATAAGACTCTAAAGCCTTGAGAATTAAGAAATGCAGTCCTGTTCGCTGTTTCAGCGACTTTAGCTGGCTGGTTGCTTTCTCCTTTCACAGCCCCGAGGATGCTTATGAAACTAGAGCTCTGTCTCATGTGTTGGCATCACCCTCGAGGGTTGCTCTGAGCTTCACACCACACCCATGTCTGTGCCTTTCGCAGCTTCACAACCAAAGACGAGCTGGGGAAGGCAGCGCCTCAGCTCCTGACTCCTGGGCTGACGGGAGAGTCTTCAGAGTCCTTCAGTGCCTCAGAGGACGAAGGCCAGAGGGAATACCAGGCCAATGACTCCGACTCTGACGGACCTGTCTTGTACACCGATGACGACGACGATGATGAGGACGAGGACGGCAGTGGAGAAAGTAAGACTTTTCAAGAGGGAGGGAGCGGGGGAAGTCCACGGTGGGCAGAAGCAGGTGCATTCTGAAAAAACAAAAGCGTCATCAGGAACCAGACACCTGATGTTTTCTTCCCCTCATCTGCCTTTCTCAGACTAGAAGTGTGTATCTTCTGAAGGTAAGGTGTAGATGACAGACCTTTCTGAAAGATGATTCCACAGGCGGAGGGGTGAGGGAGACAGTCTGTGAGGCCAGTATGCCTATTTGAACTTGTCTAAAAAGTCAGACAACAGAGGCCTTTTTCGGGTTGGTCAGAGATGACCCTTCTACCCTGGGACCTTTCTTGAATAAGGAGCATCAGTGGGTATTCACTGGATTACCCATGGGAGGTGTTTGAGAATTTCACTCACTTTTATACTGTGGTTTAAAATGAGGAGTGAGTCAAGAATGACTAATACCTTTTAAGAACTAAAAGCACTCAGCTATAGTAATAAAATGGTATGCTTTCTAAGAAGGAATGATAGTAAAGTGGACAAGGCCAACCGTTTACATATAACTTAGGCAACTGGAAGGATGCTATTCTTTAAAAAAGCTTCTGAGAAGGATGACTTGGGAGGGATTCAGTATGGAATTTACAGTTTATGGAAAGTTATTAATATAGTCATGATTAAATTGTAGTTTATCAAATTCCTCCTAGTTTGTACTGAACAATAAAAAGATCATTATTGAACAACAGTAAAATCAGGCAACGGCAAAAATCATTGTCATCCTTTGGTGTTTACTATCCTCTATGAGATATCAGGGATAATTGGGTAAATTTAGGATTAAAACATCGGTATGGAAGATAGGGGCCTCCCAGGTGGCGCTAGTGGTAGAGAACCCACCTGCTAGTGAAGGAGACATAAGAGACACAGGTTCAATCCCTGAGTTGGGAAGATTCCCTGGAGGAGGAAATGCCAACCCACTCCAGTATTCTTGCTGGAGAATCCCATGGACAGAGGAGCCGTGGATAAAGAATTTGGTCTGGCTCTGTTTAAAAAGCCTCTGCCATGTGTAACCTGAGGGCCACTTGTTAAAAGCCTTTCTCTGCACTTCTGCCTTTTCCAATCCTCAGGTGCTTTGGCAAGCAAGATACGACGAAGGGACACTCTTGCTATCAAACTTGGCAACAGACCATCTAAGAAGGAATTAGAGGACAAAAACATCTTGCAGCGCACATCTGAAGAAGAGAGGCAGGAAATCCGACAGCAGATTGGAACCAAGCTCGTCAGGTAATTGCTGACGTTTGGGAAGAGTGCTGACGAGTTCTTGCTTTTCCCTCTCCAGCAGTTCCCTTCCTAACTGAGATCACCATGAATTCCTCCTGGAAGAGCATACTTGGCCTCTCTGATCTTTTAAAGTTGGTCTTCGATGGTAAATCACTCAATGAGCCTGCCTTTATTTTTTTAAAAAATACTGTTTTTTATTTTTTAATTTTTTTGGCCCTGCCCTGTAACATGTGGGATCTTAGTTCCCTAACCAGGGATCAAATCCATGCCTCCTGCAGTGGAAGCTTGGGGTCTTAACCACTGAACCACCGAGGGAGTCCAAAGCACCTGTTTATTGGTCCATCTCGCCAGTTGGCTTTGAGGTCGCCAAAGCCTGATCCAAGTAGGGACAGGCTCTTTCTATAAAGGACCAGTTAGTGAATATTTTAGGCTTTGTTGGCCAGACAGGCGCTGTTGCAGCTGCTGGACTGTGCTGTTGCAGCATGGAAGCAGCCGTAAACAATGCAGAAACGGATGAGTGCGGCTACATTCCAAGAAAGCGTTCTTCACCAAAACAGGCAACAGGCCACGTTTGACCTGCCACCCATAGCTTGCCCATCTCCTGGTCTGATTCATGGACTCCCTAACGTTCCTGTGATTGCCACAGGTTCTGCCCTGGGGGCTATGAGATGATAGAAACATTAGTTAGTGTCAGTGGCCAATTACATCCAAGTCAGGGAACCATAGCCCCTAAATGAAAACTTCCCACTTTTTACTCCAAATAAATGGTCTCTGACTGCACTTCCTGCTTTTAGCCATTGTAGGATGTCTACTTTGCCACTTGTGTCTTTGGGAGCCCATGTAATTGGCAGGGGTTTTTTTAATTATTATTTTTATTGGAGTTATTTGTTGGAGGTATTATATTGGAGTTTATTTTATAATTGGTTTGCAATGTTCTGTTGGTTTCTGCTGTACAATAAAGTGAACCAGCCCTATGAATACATACATCCCTCCCTCTTGGACCTCCTTTCCACTCCATTCCCCCCACCCCACCCCTCTAGGTCATCACAGCACCAATCTGAGCTCCCTGTGCTATAGAGCAGCTTCCCCTAGCTATCTTACACATATTAGTGTATATATCCTGGTCTCCCAACTCGTCCCACCCTCCCCTTCTCCTCCTGTGTCCACATGTCTGTTCTCTTCATCTGCATCTCTATTCCTGCCCTGGAAATAGGCTCATCCGTACTATTTTTCCAGATGCCACGTATATTCGTAACGGGCAGTTTTAATAGACGTGAGTGCTGAAGCTCTCCTTTTTATTATCAATATAAGCTTTTATTTAAGTGTTATTTTTCTACTGTCCCTAATGCTGCATAAAAACACAGGTTGCATCAATTAGGGAGAAGGGAACAGTCTGAACCACCAGAACAAGATTTGGAGGCAGGAGAGAAGTCCTTCCTTGCTTGGGCATGGGAGATTTCTGTGACTGTGGTGTACCTGCAGGGTTGGCCATGAACGTTCCAGAAGCCATTATCTGTTTCACAGATTGAGGCCAAGCCCAGCACTTACGCTGGTAAAATAAGACGATCCACCGAAGCCATGGATCCTAGCAAGCACTTAATACAATTAAGTATTTTTAATTAATTAAAATTATTATGTATCCCTTACATCGGTAAAACACTTTTAAACATTAAACCCAGTGTCAGCAACTTTATGAAAAAATAGACATGTCTACCTTGCTCTAGTTCACTGTTTCTGAAGAGCGACTTAAAATGAGAAAACGATTCTAAAGCAGTGTTTCTTTACATGTTAATACTATCTGGAAGGTTATACAAGAAGGAAGTAATCCAACAGAGGGAGAAAAAAAAAAACTATATTTTACGAAGATATTTATTTCAAGGGTATTTATAGCAATGACAACTTAAAACAAACCACAAACACTCCAAGACAGGGACTGATGAAGAACATTGTGAGAAGTTGACACCATGAAATAACCATGTTGTTCAGTCACCCAGTCGTGTCCAACTCTTTGCGACCCCGTGGACTGCAGTACACCAGCCCTCCCTGACCCCTCATCTCCTGAAGTTTGCCCAAGTTCATGCCCATTGTGTCAGTGTTGCCATCCAGCCATCTCATACTCTGACACCCTCTTTTCCTTCTGCCCTCAATCTTTCCCAGCATCAGGGACTTTTCCAGTGAGTTGACTGTTCGCATCAGATGACCAAAATACTGGAGCTTCAGCTTCAGCATCAGTTCTTCCAAAGAGTAGTTAGGGTTGATTTCCCTTAAGATTGACTGGTTTGATCTCCTTGCTGTCCAAGGGACTTGCAGGATCTTCTCCAGCACCGCAGTTCTAAGGCATCGATTTTTTGGCATTCTGCCTTCTTTATGGTCCAGCTCTCACAACCATACATGACCACTGGGAAGACTGTAACCTTCACTATATATATGGACTTTTGCTGGCAGAGTAATGTCTCTGCTTTTCAACACACTGTCTAGGTTTGTCATAGCTTTCCTGCCAAGGAGCAATCGTCTTCTGATTTCATGGCTGCTGTCACCGTATACAGTGATTATTATCTTTATAATAATGATAAGTTCTTTAATAGATGTTTAATAGATGTATAATTTATGTGGGGCTTCTCTGATAGCTCAGTTGGTAAAGAATCCACCTGCAATGCAGGAGAGCCCAGTTCAATTCCTGGGTTGGGAAGATCCCTTGGAGAAGGGATAGGCTACCCACTCAAGTATTCTTGGGCTTCCCTTGTGGCTCAGCTGGTAAAGACTCTGTAATGTGGGAGACCTGGGTTCAATCCCTGGGTTGAGAATATCCCCTGGAAAAGGGAAAGGCTGCCCATTCCAGTATTCTGGCCTGGAGAATTCCATGGACTATTGCAAAGAGTCGGACACAACAGAGCAACTTTCACTTTTGGGGGGGATTCCCTAGTAGCTCAGTAGGTAAATAATCTGCCTGCAATGCAGGAAACCCAGGTTCAATCCATGGGTTGGGAAGATCCCATGGAGAAGGAAATGGCAACCCACTCTGGTATTCCTGGAGAATTCCATGGACAGAGGAGCCTGGCGGGCTACAGTCCGACATATCACAAAGAGTCGGACACAACTGTGTGACTAGCTTTTACTTTTTCACTTTCATAATTTATTTATAACCATTCTAGAGGGATCAAGAACCAGCAGCCTTTAATAATTTATGAGATTTCAGTAGGTAAAGAGGGAGAGAAGGGCATTCCAGATAAAGATAGTCCATAAGCAAAAGAAGAACAGTGTCTTTGGGGGATAATATAGTACAGATATGTAATATAAGATACATGAATGGCACAAAATTTGGCTGGCATAGATGTTCACTGGGGCTTTCTGTGGGCTCACATATTAAGTGAATTTCAGGATAGCTCTAATGAAGATTAAATGTTAAACGTTTTAATGAGCTATTCAAAATATCATTGATTTTAATTCTTCACACCATTTCTATACAGCCATAAACAGAGTTGACACCATCTTGTATTAAGATTGCCTTTCGTGTATACTAATTTAATTTGCACAAATTCAGTCTATATCCCAAGGAAGTTTTTGTCAGTGACTAACAACAAATTAATAATGTAAGGAAGACCAAGACCAAGGGCTATTAGGCCATTGAGCTCTTGTGTATAAATGGTTAGGTACTAATCCCAACTGAGCCTGGCTTTTCTCGAAGGCAGATGGGAAGGGCTTATGTAGCCTGAGATAACTTTATATGCATTGTAAATTTATTTGAGATCCCAAAGCAGTATTTTCCTGAAAACACTGTACAATATAGATTGATTATCTCATGAGTTGGTATGAACTCTTGAGCAGCAGGCTTTTCTTAGATTCTAATGATCTGTATGTTAATTAGGGTACAGGCTAAGCTGCTCTGAAAGAAACTGTTAGTTACTCAGTCACGTCCGACTCTTTGTGACTCTTTGGACCATAGCCTGCCAGGCTCCTCTGTCCATGGGATTTCCCAGGCAAAAACTTTGGAGTGGGTAGCGACTCCCTTCTCCAGGGCATCTTCCTGACCAGGGCTCGAACCTGAGTCTCCTGCACTGTAGGCAGATTCTTTACCATCTGAACCACCGAGGAAGCCCCTTAACAGAGACCGAAACGTGCCCTGGTCCAAGCAAGACCACCATATCTTGGTCCAAGCAAGATATGTTTCTTTTTCATATCACAGTATGGAAGGAGGTGGGCTGTCCAGTGTGGGTGGGATACACAGCTCCTGGCAGTCACACAGGTTCCCAGTTCCTTCCATCTTGTTGCTCTTCCGTCTCCGTGATATCCTCATCTGTATAATCCGAGCTGGCTCACATGACCATATTCAAGTTCTGGCCTGTGGAAGAAGAAAAGAGAGAGAAAGGAATACACTCCCAGTCATTTTAAGGGTAAAAAGCAGACGTTACAAACACCACTTCTGCTCACATCCCAAATCACAAGAACTCAGACACATGACTACCTTGTCACTGGGGAGGCAGAAATTTATAGTTGTATGTTTAGCTAAAACTCTGGGAGTTCTGCTTCTAGACAAAAGAAGGGAGGATGTGTAGTTAGCAGTCTTAGCCACAATCTCTAGTCTCCAAAGTAATGCAAGGGGGCTTTTATTTTGTAGGCTTAAAAATGGATTTTTGTGTAATATTTCTGGTGATCCAGTGGTAAAAAATCTGCCTTGCAGTGAGGGGACTTGTTCAATCCTTGGTCAGGGAACTAAGATCCCACATGCTGTGGAGCAGCTAAGCCTGCACGCCACAGCAAAAAAAAAAATCCGCCATGACTAAATTAACATCCCATGTGCCACAACTAAGAGCTGACACAACCAAGTAAATAAATAGTTGTAAAATGGATTTTTGTTTCTCAAAACATAAAGAAATGAAGCTTTGCTTATTGCTTTATTTTGCATCTCCCACTAAGGGGACCTTGTTTGTAACCTGGCTTGTATCTGTTTTGTCATCATAGGAGACTTAGCCAGAGGCCCACCACTGAAGAATTAGAACAGAGAAATATCCTGAAGCGTGAGTATCATGTGCTACACAGTGAATTCCTTGTGTAACCATGAACAAGCTCCCTCTAGAGACGATCCATTTATCAACAGGGAACCTTCATACATTTATTCACAAATGATTGAAATGACCCATTTAGATCACATTTTAATACAATTATTTATTTGTCATTTTAAAAATAATTTCTTGAAGTTTGAATTTAATTTTATGGCTTGAAGCCTGATATCCCCCACAGCAGTTGTGGTTGTGACATTTGTTTTTAAAAAGCATGAAATATATTCCATATATTCTTTCACCCAGATACTAAGTAGAAGAAAACACTTTAGTGTGCTTGCAACTAAATGTCAAAGAAAAGGCCTAAGAATCCACAAGGAAATAAATCAAACGTCCCTATATTATTATTAATAATACAGTTTGTTGCCAGGTTTAACAAATGACTCCATTTAACACAGAATTTTGGGAAAAGGAATTTTTCAATCCATTTCATTTTCCTTTGTTATGATAACACTTATTTCCCTCCTGAGTTATTTATAATTTCTCGGCTCCTAAGGAGTTCTCCATTCATTTTCCTACTTCATTTTCCCATTCTCTTTCCCCCTTTATTTTCTTTGACTTCACTTTTTACTCATCAGTCTGGTCATATTTATGTTACTGGAGTTCATATGTTGAAGCTATAAAACAAATAGAAGCAGCTTGTCCTGCTGTAGTGGATCGATGTGGTTACTAACCACAGTGAGTTAAGTAATGGATATTTTTAAATTGAGCCTAGCTGTAGTTTTATATATTATTAGCCCAGTTTCAAAAGAGCTTTTTATTGTATGAAATATCAAAGAGTAGGGCTGGGCAGAACTCCAGAGAGTACTGTAATAGTAATGAGTCGCCAGTGTGTGGGAAATCTTTTTCAACCAGGCTTTTAGAGTCAAGTTGGCCTGTCTGGATGATCCCCATTCTCCAAATGAGTTGTTTTCTTTCCCAAAGGAGAAGAAAGATTTTTTAACAGTGTATGTATTCTACAGTTGCTTTTGCTAAGAAAACCCAACTATGAAGACTGTCTATGGGGTTCTTCCCTTGGGAAGGTTTCTTTCTGGCTGTGAGCATAACTGAAATGGAACCCAGGGACTTAAGTGACCATCAGTTTGGAGATGGAAAAAGTCACGGCTAGATAAGAAAAAAAAATTTGTGTTTAGCTTTCTGAGCAAGAAGAATGAAAGCAACGACTAATTTTTGACAACAAACCTAAACCAAAAAGACTTATGGCTTTTGATAATAGGTTCCTGGGAAATATTGATTGAATTAAATTGTAGATAAGCTCAAATATAGACCATAAGCTCCCGAAACACAGAGTGAGACTTATTGGCTGCCTGATGCAATACCTAGGAAAAAAGAAAGGGTGAATTCTGGGTAATTCTTTCCTGCTCCTGGGAGACAGACTGTGCCAAACCACATTGGTGTTTGGTTATTTGAGGAACCGTTTCATAGATCTAGAAATTTATCACACATTGATCTTAAGTGCTGTCTTGGCGTTTATACTCCATTTTCCTGGAGGTTCAGGAAAGAGTGAAACGCCAAAGTCAACTTCAGATTTGACTCCAGCCCGTTTTTTTTAACTTCCTCCTTAGTTTGTCTATGCATGCTTATTCTGGAAACAAAAGACACGTTTCCAGTCTATAGAGGCTGATAAATGGCTTATGATCTCCTGACACAATATTGTATGGCCAAGGGAAGCAGAAAAGAGAACTGGTGGAGGTCGCCCAGAACATTCTTCTGAGCAGTCCCAGGGAACCGGATGGCCTCATTTTCCCATTCTCTTTCCCCCTCTACTTTCCTTGACTTTACTTTTTACTCATCAGTCGGGTCATGTTTATGTTCTTCCATGAAGATTACTCTTGTTTGTTTCATCTACAGCTTTTTGTTCAAAAGAAATATGACTGTCTATTTGAAGAAGAAGTGTGTGTGTGGTGTGGTTTTTAAGGATACATACTCAACTGGGTCATCCTTTCTTGACAGATTAGGAAACTAATTCACAGCATAAAACATTCAACAGTTCTCAAATCCAAGCCTGTCACTAGTTTCATAAACATGAATCAAATGGCACACAACACTGATGGCTTTAATCAGAGACCACAGGACAAATTTTATTTCTTAGTATCATGCCCAGTATCACACCTAACTTGATCTCTTTCTTAATTTAGTGCATCTAAGGTTTTTTTTAATATACATATATTTAAGTTAGATTTTAGTACTAGTTTCTTAATATTGTTAAAATAGAAAGCAACTTATGGTGCTTAAAAGGTCAGCTTTTGCTTATCAGGAAAAGAGATGTTCATGGGACACCTTGGACAGGGTAGGGATAAAATATTCAGATCTTCTTATACTATTTAGTTATGACTATAACTCCAGCTAAATCTTCCATAGAAAAAAACATGTGTTAAGTCATTGAGTTCTACATGTGTTTTTCCCCCGGCATTTTGTTATGAAATATTTTAAGCATACAGAAAAGTTGAAACATTTTTACAGTAATATCCGTGTATCTACTATCCATATTCTACCATTAACATCTTACTTTGTCACACATCTGTCCATCTATGGAGTCATTTTGTTTTTGGATGTATTTCAAAGTAGGTTTATTACTGCATTCTCGTTTGTTAACAAAACCCATATAGAAACATGTAAAACAGCACAGAGTGAAAACAATCTCATGAAAGAATGTTTAGCTCTTTTTGAACCCATCTTGTCTGAGTTGGTGAAGAGTATGCTCACACTCCAGTTGCTGGTACTTCGCTGCTTTTCTGTTTCTCCTTTTAGCTCATCCATATGAGGCTCTGGGCAGCACTTGGAGGGCTGGTTTCCTGCAGTGCACACTGCTGTTCAATTGCATGTATTGTTGGTGTGTTTATGGCACGTGCTTTCTGTGGCTGTTCTGATATCTGCCCCTTTCTACTCTGATGAGCTACTGAGGGCAAGATTTGTCAGTGAGCCAGCAGCTTCCTTCATGAGCATTCTTCCAATCTGTTTAAAATGACAGGTTTACATCCTACTTTATAATTAACCCTCTAATAATTTTTTTCCATTTATTTTTATTAGTTGGAGGCTAATTACTTTACAATATTGTAGTGGCTTTTGTCATACATTGACATGAATCAGCCATGGATTTACATGTATTCCCCATCCCAATCCCCCCTCCCAATTTTTTTTTTTTTTTTTAATTTCTAGAAACTTGGTGAATTTTTTCAAACTGAGTTTAAGGTTTAATTTTGACTCTTAGTAAAAGATTTAACAATGGCTATTTAACACATTCAGAGGAAGAGTTCCATTAGCCTTCTTCCACATCTCACCCTCTCCCTCTAATTTCTTTAGAAACATAATTTCAAAAATGGGAAATGTAAGGAAGTCAGTTCCTGATGTTAAAAAGGAATTCCCAATTGGTATATAAAGTCCTGTGTATTTAATTAACTACAGTTGGCCCTTCTTTTTTAAAAAATATCACTGTCTGACACCTAGACGTGCAGTGTGCTTCATAGGGCAAAATTAAGTAATAGGCTCTTCAAGGAAATGAAATTTTATATATTTCATGAAAATTGGGGCATTTGTTAGCCTTGAGTCATATTAGATATCTAGTATTTTGTCTTTGAAAAGTACTTTTGAAAACTGTAGCATAATCATTGTGTAGAAAGAATGACTAAAAAGGTTTTAATGACTTTTTTTTTCTTAAAATCATCAAATGCCTAACCTTGTAAAGCCCTCATTTGAATCACATCAACCACGAGTTTGGTGTTTGTCTCACAAGTAGTTTACAACCCACATGCCTTATCCAACTCATATAAAGTATTTGACTCTAAGAATGTATTTTAAGGATATCAAAGGATATATATTTTGTGAAGCAATTAGAAAAACCTACAGTATTTTCAGAAAAAATCTGAATTATAATCAAATTTTATTTGGCTCTCGCAGACACTTAATGAAAACATACTAACTAGTCATTTCTTGTCTTACAAGGTGATTTCAGTTTATGTTTTCTCTGTCTAAATAACCAGACAGATTGTCCTCTTTTTTATGAATTAAAACTAGTATTTCAGAAGAATTTCAAAACTTTTCCCTGTCCAGATAAGGAAAATTAATAGAGAATTTAGCATGCTCAGCAAGCAAATACAAAGCAAATATTGAATACTGATATTATATTCACAGTAAAAACAGTCTTAACAGTAAGAAGACTACTTGAATTTTTAAAACTGTAGAGGAGACTTTTTCAGTTCTTTGGTTGAGCCTTTATACTAAGTGTGACTTTCCTTCAGTAGAATTCATTATGGCACTTTCTAAAAGATAATCTTTCATAAACATTGGTATCCGAAAATCTGTGCTCACTTACCAAACAAATAATGAGCTTCAGGAAGCAACCAAGAGAAGTTCATCAAGTAGCAAGCATTAAATCCTGAGCAGTGTTTATTTCTTTTAAAGTTCTGGACATTTTTTTCTTAATCCCATCTGTTGGACAGCATTCATTTGAGTTGGCCATTAAATTGTACTACTTGGTGAAGCACTGGATAAAGAGAAGACTTTGGAAAGTTAGAGTCACAAGAAAATAAATCATCCACATCAACCAAACACCATAACCCCATTCAGAACATTCTGGTTTGAAAGCAAAATCCAAAGAAATGATTACATTCTGCTTCTATGGAAATCAAAGCAAAAAAATCAAGTATTTTGCTTGGATTTGAATGGAAATCAGCAACTCAGACATGCATCAGATGGTTTTAATTTATTCTTTTGATGTGATTCAGATTTTCACATGAAGGCCAGATCCAGTAATAAGTTTTTATCTGAATTCAGATAGATTGTTCTTATAAGCCTATGAGATGATCAGCAGTGATCACCAGAGTATGGGCATTCTTGGGGTTTTTTTCAGAATAAAACAAGAAATCAGGAAGCAAAAAGGTTTACTGTTAGTAAATAAACCAGTGCTATAAGGAAAAAATAATATGTCTATAAATTAATGATCAATCTTTCTGCAGAATCTTGAACAGCTCTTTATAGATGTTGGTGGAGTGTTCAATTAATGTGAAGTCAAATAACTGGCCTGATCTACTTTTCTGATTATATAATCTTTTATAGTAACTAAATCTTCATGCCTTTCCTTCCCTCTCCCACCCAATTAATAAACAGAAAAGAATGAAGAAGAAGAGCAAGAAGCAAAAATGGAACTTAAACGCAGACTCAGCAGAAAGGTAATGAAACTGTGACTGTTAATGAACATGTGTATTTTGAGATATACTTCATTTTTAAAATGTAGATCAGTGCTCTACATGTAAATCTGATATTTAGGAATATTCCTATTAACTTACTAACCATAAACATTCATATTAACCTGCTAACTAATCACTGACATTAAAATAAATGTAATGCTTGCAATGTGAATTATGTTTATATTAATAATTGCATAATATTCTAATTTTGAAAAGTTGACAATCAAAAGTTCTAAATTACATTTGCCAGTTATGAAAATAGCATAATCTGTGTGAAAAAATTTAAACAGCACAAAAACAGAAAAGACTGGAAAATATGCAAATATTTCCCATTCATAGATAGCCATTATTAACATTTCAATCTATAATTTTTAAAAATGCTCACACTTTCCACGTGGTCTTTGAAATACTGGATAAATATTTGGTTATTATTGAAGATTCTGAGCTGAGTGAGTAATTTATAAGGTGAACTTAATCATCCAGCTTGCTTGCTGCAGTGCTACCCAAGTTGACAAATGGTTTTACTCCAAAACTCAGACAGTTGTTTCTACTCATTTATGAAAATAAAAATCTGATACTAAGACCATAGCTTTTTTTTTAAGTATTAAAATAGTAATAGTCTTCAGAAAAATTAAGCACTATCATAGGTTTCATTTCATTATAAGCACCTTGTTCAGACTTTCTTCAGATAAATCTTTCACACCTGAATAAGGCAGGAAGAGTAAAACATGACCTCTGCAGCAAAGTGTGTGACCTGACCCACATTTAATCTGGGCTGGCTGTGGAGTTCACAGCAAAAGCATTCTCGGGCAGGTAGAAGAAGCACTCCATTCCCATTGGAAGGGTGGAGACCGTATTTCGAGAGGTTTTGGTTTTGAGTTTTAGGGGGAAAGATCCTTAATTCATCTCTTTTTTTCCTCAAAGAGCCTGAACATCAAATAATAACCAAGCTGAGAAAGATGCTGTAAGCCATTCTTGAGATGGCTCTTCTAGCAATTCATGGCCCTTAAGTTACCAGCTCCCTCGGAGGGAGGGCATGGCAACCCACTCCAGTGTTCTTGCCTGGAGAATTCCATGGACAGAGGAGCCTGGCAGGCTACAGTCCATAGGGTCTCAAAGAGTCGGACACGACTAAGGCAACTTAGCGCGCACGTTACCAACTAGGGATAAGCAGTGACCCCTCCCCCTTGCTCAGTCCACGCCTGTCATACATACGATCTTTTCTCAGCCCGTTTGGGGGCTTCCGGGAGACAACAGAGCTGCCCTGCCTCCAATTGCCTGTACCGCACAGAGCTCCCTCCTGCAGGTGCGAAACATTCCAGAGACCTAATGGCCACCCTGGGACTGATACAGCCCTGAAGGACGGGACTGGATGGAGAACTTCTGACCTGTGTGGCCTTTGGTTACTTGCCTTTGGGGAAGTCGCCAGAGGCAAGGGTTTCTCTACTTCCTTAACCGTATCCACCCTGGAAAGGCAGTAAGAAGCTACAATATATATATATATAGGACAGTAACTGAGACGGTAACAAAACCACTTAGATTGTTCCTTCCTTTGTCCATCACCTACCAGGGCTTTATGAATATAGAAGGAGCCACGTTGCCATATCCCAGGTCAAGCGGGCTCAGTGTGTAGACCCAGACTGTCTAAGAACCCCTGAATGCCTTGAATGTTAGAGCACTGACAGTTTAGCCTCTGGTTTTACTCAAGAGGAAGCTGAGGAAAGGGAATACTTTTGACTACAAAAGCATCCCTTTTTTGGTGAGCGTGCTTAATTTTTCCAAAACTTGAGTCCATACAAATAAGGAATGCTTCCAAAGAGGTCCACTTAGATCATAGATAGCCTGGCTGTATATATATATACAGAGAGAGAGTGAAAATGGACCTTTTCTATAAAACAGAGGACTGAGTCTACCTAACTGACAATACTGTGACACCTCCCAACTGAGAAAGCTTGCAAAATCATGGATCTTTATATTGGAGAGTGGATGATACCTGTCAACCAGGGGCTAAGTTTCTCTAGTTTTCTCTTAAGAACCATTTCTGTCTTATTCTTGGGCTTGAGAAGGGTCCAAGAGAGGAAAGCAAATGCACGCAGGGTATGGTAGATTAAATAAAACTGTAAATTTGAATTTCACAAAGACCACAGACAGAATCCACCTAACTGGAAGCGTCCTAAAGGTTGCAGCTGGTTTTAAGCAGTTGTGACCTCCCTAAAGTGCAGTTTTCCAGCAAGTCCCCCATCCTCATTCCTGCACGTCAGTTTCTCTGGCACCAAGGGTAAATGTCAAATCTTGGTCTGGGTCCTTAGACTCTCACAGAAGACTGTTGTAGGCTCACCCTTCACTGGACTATTTCTTTGTTATAACTGTGCATCTGTGAATATGCAGGTATAATGTAGAAGGAACAGAGATTTTTATTCCCATTTCTACAATTTGTAGGGCTTCTGTCTTGATAATTCAATCTTTAAGCCAGCCATTCCATATCTGGATTACTATTGTGTCTGTACTGCTTCCTGTTCCCCATGTCAGAGATGCCAGGCAAGGTGGGGAAGATAGCGTATTGCAGCCAGTTGCCAAAGACTGTGACCTATCTAACAAGGATGATTTTTATAGCCTCAAAATTAGGGCATACTGCTTTCTAGTTCTCATTAGAAACTCCCAAGATGCTGCTGCCTTTCTTTTTTTTTTTGATATCTGAAAGTGACCTTATAACTTTGAAGTTCTCTATAGAAAAACATGCCACCATGAGGCTGTAAATGGTTTATTGAACTATCCTTTCTTCCTTATCCTCCTGCAGCTCAGCCTGAGACCCACAGTGGCAGAGCTGCAAGCTCGAAGGATCCTGCGGTTTAACGAGTATGTGGAAGTGACCGATTCACCCGACTATGATCGCCGGGCAGACAAGCCCTGGGCCAGGTTAACACCTGCAGACAAGGCAAGACTTCAGTGGCATGAGCCATAATTTTATTTACTTACGATTTTATTGCTTTTCTGAAATTGCCAGTACCTACTTAGCCTCTACTTAGTCATTTTAGGAGATTAAGTATTACCAAATATCCTAATACTTTTCTGCCTTTGATTATTTAAGCCACTTACGTGATATATTTAATATCAACATAGTTCTTTCAACTGAGTTTCAGAAAAAAACCTTGTTCTTAGTTACCAGGTAACCTACTTGCAAACAAATCTGAATTGGCGCGGGAGAGTGCTTTCCCACAACCATTATTTATCCTTACTCTTAGAAAATATACAAGTTATTCTTGGAAAAGGTATTGATGTGCATCAAGGCTGGCACACATTTTCTATAAATGTTCAGCAAGTCAATATTTTAGGCTTTGTGGGTCATCCAGTCTTTATTACAATGGCTCAACTCTGCCTTTATAGCAGGGAAGCAGCCATAGACAGTATGTAAATCAGTGGATCTATATGTGGTCCAATAAAGCTTTATAAAAACAGATGATGAGACAGAACACTCGATGACATAAATCAAAGCAAGATCTTCTATGACCCACCTCCTAGAGTAATGGGAATAAAAACAAAAATAAACAAGTGGGACCTAATTAAACTTAAAAGCTTTTGCACAGCAAAGGAAACTACAAACAAGGTGAAAAGACAGCCTTCAGAATGGGAGAAAATAATAGTAAAGGAAACGACTGATAAAGAATTAATTTCCAAAATATACAAGAAGCTCATACAACTCAATACCAGAAAAGCAAACAACCCAATCAAAAAGTGGGAAAGGGACCTGAAGAGACATTTCTCCAAAGAAGACATACAGATGGTTAACAAGCACATGAGAAGATGCTCAGCATCACTCATTATTAGAGAAATACAAATCAAAACTATAATGAGATACCACTTCACACCAGTCAGAATGGCCATCATTACAAAGTCTACAAACAATAAATGCTGGAGAGGGTGTGGAGAAAAGGGAACACTCTTGCATTGCTGGTGGGAATGTAAACTGATACAGCCACTGTGGAAGACGGTATGGAGACTCCTTAACCACCATATGACCCAGCAATCCCACTCCTAGGCACATACCCTGAGTAAATCAAAACTGAAAAAGACACATGTACTCCATTGTTCATTGCAGCACTATTTACAATAGCTCGAACATGGAAGCAACCTAGATGTCCATCAACAGATGAATGGATAAAGAAGCCGTGGTACATATAGATATTGGAATACAACTCAGCCATAAAAAGGAACTCGTTTGAATCTGTTCTAATGAGGTGGATGAAACTAGAGCCTATTATACAGAGTGAAGTAAGTCAGAAAGAGAAATATGAATATCGTGTTCTGACACATATATATGAAGTCTGAAGAGATGGCACTGATGAATTTATTTTCAGGGCAGCAGTGGAGAAACTGACATAGGGAACAGATCTGTGGACACAGTGGGAGGAGAGGAGGGAGAAGGGGAGATTTATGGAGAGAGTAAGATAGAAATTTACAATACCATATGTAAAATGGATAGCTGATGGGAATTTGCTGTATGGCTCAAGGAACTCAAACTGGGGCTCTGTGACAGGCTGCAGGTTGAGATGGGGAGGGAGATGGGTGGGAGGTCCAGGAGGAAGGGGACATGGGTGTATCTATGGCTGATTCTCCTTGATGTATACCAGAAAGCCACACAACCCTGTAAAGCAATTATCCTTCAATTAAAAACTTTTAAAAAAGCAGATGGTGGACCACATTTGGCCCGTGTGTCGTGGTTTACCAACCCTCAATCTCTTTCATGCCTCACAGTTCAGAAAAACTGCAATATATAGAGGGTTCCATCATGAAGAAAGACAGTTGTATGAGTATTATGGTTACATAGTTAAAGAATTTTGCCAATCAGTTGTTTGTTTTTACATTTTTCATTTTACAGTTTTTCTGATCTCCCAAATAATGGTTTCTAATTTTTGTCTCTGAACAAAATTTGGTATCAAATAAACTCATGTCATACCCAGTCTTAATATTCGAACTAGGCATTTAGTTATACTCTATGCTGACACCATTTAATTGAATTCATTCTGTAAAGCACCTAGTATGTGTCAGGCTCATATTGGAGATATAGAGTCAGTAATTCTTAGCTCATAAGAAGTGAAAACTAGGAAGGAGTAAGGTTACAAAGGAAGAATGAAAAGGGAATTCTGGAGGCTGGGAATAGCACCCAAGAAAGTCAATCAGTCCCTCATTGGAAGGACTGATGCTGAAGCTGAAACTCCAGTACTTCGGCCACCTGATTCAAAGAACTGACTCATTGGGAAAGACTCTGGTGCTGGGAAAGATTGATGGCAGGAGGAGAAGGGGATGACAGAGGATGAGACAGTTGGATGGCATCACCGACTTGATGGACATGATTTTGAGCAAGCTTCGTGAGTTGGTGATGGACAGGGACGCCTGGTGTGCTGCAGTCCATGGGGTCGCAAAGAGTTGGACACGAATGAGTGACTGAACTGAACTGAAGCCAACATGAAGGGCCATTCAAAAACACTGAAATGAAATGTCTCTGAGGAGGGGAAAGAGAAGAGTTAGCCCAGCAGCCTGGGGAGGGGAGTGTCAGCTCACAAGTGGTTGGTTACGTAGTGAGAGGAAGCATTTTAACAGACAGACAGGTGGAAGCCTGACTGTGGTGGGAACCCTGAGAATAAAACACAGTCCAAGAGTCTTTCTGTGAAGAAGAGATATAAGGTGGTCACTTGAGGGAGAATGATTGTGGACGCTGCAAGCTTGAGTGAGCAGATTTGGAAAATAAGAATATCAAGAGAATGATTTTTTTCCTAATATGTGGGAAATACCCGAGCAATCTTTTAGGCCATGAGAAAGGAGCCAAAAGAAAGGGAAAGGTTACCTCTGGGAGAAAAAGTCAGTAAGTGATAGAGTGGCGCATAATCAATGGAGCAGCAAGTCACTGCTTATGCAGAAAAGGTGAGGAGAAAACCCTTGAGGGTGGGATGGTCAGCGAGGCGGAGGAAGGTGCACCACAAGAGGAGGCTTTCCCAGGCAGGTGGAATCACGCGGATTGAGGGCAGCCACGAGGGCGTGAAGGAGACTGTGATACTCAGGCCCTGGGTCAAGCCCACCATCAATCACTGCCATGTTTCCTGAAGGAACTAGTCAAGTTTATGGGTTTCCAAGAATTGCCTATAAACTACTTAATATGGTCTCTTGCCCTTAGGCAAGAGAGATTCAGGTCATTGACTGTTACTCAGCTGACAGATGGGCTTCTGTGGAGGGTCTGAAGTGGCTTGTTTACATGTCTGGTGTCTTGGTGAAAAGTGAAAAGAAAGTGTTAGTAACTCTGTTGTGTCTGATTCTTTGGGACCCCATGAACTGTAGCCCCCAAGCTTCTCTGTCCATGGAATTCTCCAGGCAAAAGTACTGGAGTGGTAGCCTTTCCCTTCTCCAGGGGCTCTTCCTGACCCAGGGATCAAACCCAGGTCTCCTGCGTTGCAGGCAGATTTTTTACTACCTGACGATGTCTCAGAGGCTAGGCGTAGCTCTGGGCTCAGCCTGGCTGTCCACCAAACCGCCGAGAGGTGGCTTTTTCAGCATGGTGGCCTCAGAGGTGGTGTCAGATTTCTTACATGGTGGCTGGCTTGTCCCAGAGCACGTGCCCAGAGAGAACCAGGTAAAAGCTGCATGGATTTTTCTGACCCAGCTTTAGAAGGCACCCAGCCTCGCTTTCCCAACATTCTGTTAGTTCTAAGCAAGTCATAAGGTCAGCTCAGATTCAAGGGGCGGGTAGTTAGCTCTACCTTTCAGTGGGGGAATGGTGGCAAAGTCATATTGCAGAAGAGTGTGTGAGCTGGAATTATTATTGCTGCCATCTTTGGGAAACACAGTTTGCCATTTCCACCATTCCCAGTTATTATGTTACTCAAATGTTGAAGTTCAGAAAGGCAGGTAGAGGGTGGCCAGGTAAATGAGTAGAAATCACGTGCAAGTCCAAAGTGTACAAACAATGAGAGTCTAAATGATTAACCACCCTCTTATGGGAACTGCATTTTCCCATATGCTCGAAGTAGTCCTTCCTAACCCTTGTCTGTTATTGGAAGGTAAAGTTTATCCACCTGGAGCTATAATAACAGAGAGGGTTTTTCTTTTAAATTTTGTTATTGAAACAAAAGTAGATTTTTGTGCTGAACTTGGAGGCTGCAGGGGAGATGTATTTGGTCAAGTTTTCTTCTGCAGGCTTAATGTCTGTTCATGAGTAACTTGAAAGCACGTGACATTCATGTCTCCCTTGCCGATTAAACCCTGAGCCCCAGAGCTAAGCCAGGGGCCTCTCTACCCATTCACGAGACTCCTTTTCTCCCTTTCGCATTTTCTCTCCCCTTAACCCTGAGATTCTGAAGGTCTCAATGACTGCACTTTTAGAACTGGATTTGTACTGTAGGGTTTTTTTTTCTTCCTTAAAAAAAATAAGAACAATTTCTTTTTGGACAGAAAAAAATGTGTACTTTTTAAAGATAGAAAATAGAAAAAAAGACAATTTAAAATACTTCTTTTGCTATATAACACATTGTAAATCAACTATACTTCAAAAATTTTTTTAAATAAAATAAAGATGCTTTTAATATATAGTACTTTGTATACACACAGGTGACTTATGTTCATTGGCAGAAATCAGAATATTCAAAAATACAAGGCGAGGAAATAGCAATTGCAGTGCACATCAATGCTTGATATTTTTAAGAGCTTCTAAAAATATTGTTTTTAACCTAACACTGGAAAAAGATCATTTATTTTTCTCTGGATGTTAAAAGATGTGTATAGTGAAATGTTACTTATTGCCCAGAGATACTAAAAGTATCAACAGTCTTAAGATATATTTTATTTTAGAATGAAAAGGTATGCTAATCATCATTATTATAAAAATCATTTCTGGATTTCTGTTGCTTTTTACCTTAAAACATTTCATAATATATAATAAGATTTATAATAATATAGTTTTAGTTCATTGATAATAAAAGCTTGTATTTACCTTTCATATTAAAAAGTTTTGCTTTTGAACTATGTATCCCATTTAAGGAAAAAAAAATATTGAAAGTAAATATTTCTACCTCTGCTTTCAAAATAAACGCTGAACTTCCTGTCAGGCTAAGGAAGCCATCCTTTCTCTCTCTTTTGTTAGTGCTATTTTCTTAGCTCCACTAAGATACCACTTTGCATTTAAAATTTCTTTGAACTTCAAGTGTAAAGAAAAGGGATCAATGTCAATTAGTCAATAACCAATCAATGCCCAATCAATAAATGGTAACTCTTACCAGTATTACAGTCATGGTCAGGCTTGATAATTTAAGCTTTTTCCCCATTGGTGACATTTTCATTACTCATTGAAACCTCAGTTTACAGTCTAGTCTAAATTTATCCAATGAAAGAGAATCCAACATTTTTCAGATGATACACGGGTTTGTCCAACAAGTTACTCAGTAGTCATTTATTAAAAACCTCCTAATGGTCATTGGAAGGACTGATGCTGAAGCTGAAACTCCAATACTTTGGCCACCACATGTGAAGAGTTGACTCAATGGAAAAGACCCTGATGCTGGGAGGGATTGGGGGCAGGAGGAGAAGGGGACGACAGAGGATGAGATGGCTGGATGGCATCACCGACTCGATGGACATGAGTTTGAGTAAACTCCGGGAGTTGGTGATGGACAGGGAGGCCTGGCATGCTGCGATTCATGGGGTTGCAAAGAGTCAGACATGACTGAGCAACTGAACTGAACTGAACTGATTATATTAAGTATTAGCTTAGATGCTGGGAACATAAGAATGAATAGAACATACCACCCTTTCAGGGATACAGTATCTAAACAGGTCCTAGGAAAGACTGAGATTTTAATTCCATAGAGAGAGATTCTTTGGCTTCTTTGTGCTTACCCAGACAGCTGAGTATACTTACCTACCCATGGCATTGATCTTGATGAGTAGTCAAGAAATCCTCTCCATGTTAAATATCAGGTTTTTATCAAAGAAATAAATAAAAGGCATGAAAATGATGGGAGTTCTAGTTCATCCTGGCTTCACAGATTATGTTATTTGAGAAGGCAGCAAGGTCTGTGTATTCAGCAAATCACCTGTTACCTCTGGCCAGGCTGACCCTTGAGTGGACTGGGAGTGATACATAGATGTTCTGTTATCATCATCACGAGTCAGTTTTAACCTAGTTCAAGTCTTTTTTTTTTAATTTTTCTTTGTCCTTTCTATAATTCTCATGGTACCAAAAATTACTCCTCGATGCCAGTACTGTCTTCTGTGGGCTTGATTTGTTTCAATCTTAGAGATACCTAGTTTGGGCTGAATGGCTTCCTGTGGTTGATAGAACTCAGCACCATTCAGGCTCCAGTCCCACTAGCTCTGCCTACCTCTTCCTGTCGCATTCTCTTTCAAAAAACTATCAGCCCCAGGACTTTCCTGGTGGTCCCATGGTTGAGACTCCATGCTTTCAATGCAGGGGGCACGAGTTCAATCCCTGGTCAGGGAATTAAGATCCCACATGCTGCAGGGTGAGGCCAAAAACAGACAAAAACACACACACAAAAACAACTCAAAAAAATATCAGTCTCATTTACACTTACATGAATAGTCATTAGACTTCAATTCTGGTCTTACCTGTATAGAAAGGATTTAAGATTATTGTCTGTGTATTTCCCTGACATAAAGGGCATTTAATTACTTTTTTTTCCCCTTTCAAAACTCTTTCAGGAAACTTTCTCTTTAAATGGTAAGAGGAAGTAACTTATGGAATAACGCTGTGGTCTTTGTTCGGTAGATTTTTTAAATGAGTATTGCACTCCTTTGACTGCCTAGAGCCACATCCTCCTGATGTATATTTTCAAACAACCAGCCCCTGTAATTTCACATCATATTCATTGCCTATAATTGACTCATCATTTCTAATTAAAACCAACACACACAGCATGGAAATCTGAGACAATTATGTGGATGACATAGGCCCTGAAGTTCATTTTATTAGAAAGAGTGTGAGACTTGAAGTAAGGGCCTATCTGTCACCATATTTTTGACTGTATCCCTGTGCTATACATTACATCCTTATGACTCATTTATTTTATAACTGAAAGTTTGTACCTCTTAATCTCTCCCTCCTATTTTACTCATCCTTCTCCCTACCCCTCTCACCCCTGGCAACCACCAGTTTATTCTTTGTATCTATGCATCTGTTTCTGGTTTGTTGCGTTTGTTCATTTATTTTTTTAGATTCCACATATAAATTAAATCATATGGTATTTATTTTTCTCTGTCTGACTTAGTTCACTTAACATAGTACCCTCTAGGTCTATCCATGTTGTTGCAAATCGTAAGATTTCATTATTTTTATGGCTGAGTAATACCCCATTGTGTGTGTGTGTGTGTGTGTGTACGTGCATATACCATATCTTCTTTATCCATTCATCTGTCAGTGGACAGTTGAGTAGATGAAAGAAAGCTTTTTGATAGATGTTAATTGGTAATGAGTATAGAGTCTTTGCTCGTTTTCATACCTGTTTCTTTTTTGGTTGTGTTGGGTGTTTGTTGTTGCGCTCAGCCTTTCTTTAGTTGCAGTGAGCGGGGTCTATTTTTCCTTGCCGTGCACAAGCTTCTCATTGTGGTGGCTTCTCTTGTTTCAGAGCACAGGCTCTTAAGCATGGGCTTCAGCAGCTATGGCATGCAGGCTTAGTTACCCCTTGGCATTTGGGATCTTCCCAGACTAGGTATCGAACCAATGTCCCCAGCATTGTGAGGCGGATTCTTAGCCAATGGACCATCAGGGAAGCCGCATTCTTCACTATTTTAGCTCCTGGTTCCGGGTATCAGTTTTTTACACTGAGTAAAGAAGAGTGTCCTTACTGTTGATCTCATTTGTGAAACAAGATATGTACTCTTATCACAGGGGACTTGGGCCCTGAAATATTTCTCTACTGGATTCATCCTCTTTCAAAAGCCAGTGGCAAGAACCATTGCCACAGTTCCCAGCCTCAGGTTCCTCATAGAAACTACAGGGACTGAGGAATAGATTTGGAGAGAAAAACAATCTGCGACGATAGGATTTAAACATAAGATTGAAAGCAGCATTGGGGAAAAGCTTATATATTGCAGAGTGATCGCTAGTGATGAGAGAGAGCCAGAGAGAAGCCTCAGGGATTTCTTCTATTTTTTTCCTTTTCTAAAATACATCATTTTCCAACCACAAAGTGTGTATGCTGTGCTCAGTCATGTCCAACTCCTTTCGACACTTTGGATTGTAGCCAGCCAGGCTCCGTGGGATTTCTCAGGCATGAGTACTGGAGTGGGTTGCCATTTCCTCCTCCAGGGGATCCTTCTGACCCAGGGATCAAACGTGCATCTCCTGTGTCTCCTGCATTGTAGGTGGATTCTTTACCTGCTGAGTCATCGGGGAAGCCCCCCAATCACAAAGTAGATTTTCTTATCACTGTGGTTTGTAACTTCATTCTGTGTTACAGCTGAGAAGTCCATTTCTCAGAGGTTCAGAGGATGCTTTTTATGAGTATTTTTTCATTTACAAAACGTCATCATAAGGACTTCCCTGGTGGTTCAGTGGTAAAGAATCTGCCTACCAATGCAGGGGACTCAGGTTCGATCCCTGTTGCATGAAGACTCCAGATAGTTCAGAGCAACTAAGCCTGTGAGCTGCAACTACTGGCCCGTGCATTCTAGGACCCATGCTCCATAACAAGAGGAGCCACCACAATGAGAAGCCTATATACCACAACTAGAGAGTAGACCCTTCTTGCTGCAGCTAGAGCAATCTGCCCACTCCCAGCAACAAAGATCTCAAGCAGTCCCCCCAAAAAAACTTCATAGAAAAATTAGAAAATAAAGATAAGCATAAAATTGAAGCCAAAAAACCATCCATGATCTAGCCAGTATTGTTAATGATAACCAGTGTTAACATTTGGATGAGTATCTCAGCTTTTCAACCTGTAAGCATCTCTTCCAACCCCAGCATGTACACAGCTTGGATTATGTGTTCAATAAATAATAATGGAAACAGCGTTCTCCTCGATATTTTCTTTGAGTGGCTTTAAGTGCTGTGCTGAAATGTTTCATTCTAATTGTCTAAACTTTCAATACCAAAGAATAAATAGCAATTGCCTTCTCTGTAGCTCTGTGGCAGCTTGTCAAAGCCATGTTGCTGTGGGTGGTATGAAATGCAGAACTTTCATAGGAAAATGATACTGTTTCTCAGAAAAACTCATGACCTCTGCTTGCCTTGTGGTCATCGAGGATGCGGTGGGTGTGTGACTCATATAGATCAGGCCTCAGGGTGGGTTTGGCAAAAGCCCCCTTCCTCTCTTGCCTCGTCAGTGACACTTGCCGGAGATCTGTCCTGGTTTTTGTTTGGCTGTGGTATCAATACTACATTTATCCCATCTTTAGAGGTAGGAACTCGAAATTCCTTTCTTCAAGATACTTCATAAAAGAATGTCTGCTTCATTGATGCTATATATGCTGAGGAAATGTGTGCTCTAACTAGTAATTCTGTTTGTCTATTGTTTCTTACTTAGGCAGCAATAAGGAAAGAACTAAATGAATTTAAAAGCACAGAAATGGAAGTTCATGAAGAGAGTCGACAGTTTACCAGGTAGGTAAACAAGATGCAGTTGGGCAAATTAAAAGTGAGTAAGATGGTAAATTTTATGTTACATGTATTTCACCACAATTTAAATTTTTCATAATATAGTTTAGCACAACACCATCTAGTGAACATTTCTGAAATTAAGTCCTTTTTTGTTTGTTTTCTTCCAAAGAAGTCTAAATCATTCTAGAGGGCTGTGTTTTGGTTTCTTTCTTAGTTTTATATTCTGGTCCAAAAAACAAGCATTAGCATCATTTATTCTGCTCTTAAAGAGACTCAGTTGAAGTTTTATGCCCAGAACAGATGCTGGTGAAAGTCAGTGTGGGCACAGACATGTCTACTTTGGACTCACAGTAGACATAGCTTAGAAAGGGTAGAAGCTCAGTTTTTAGAAGGCATAGCTTAGAAAGGAATCTGATTTTTACTGATGCCATAGAAGCTCACTATCGTCCTACCATTTCTTCTGCCAACACACTTCAGTTTCACAGGCTGCTAAGACTGGAAGAGGCTTGAGTGATCATATAGTCTGAACTGCATACTTCATAGGTGTTGTTCTGTGTTTCTCTCTCATGGGTTTAAGTGCTTTGTTATGTGTGTGTGTGTGTGTGTGTGTGTGTGTGTTTGTGTGCTCAGTCATCTGACTCTTTTGCGACTCCATGGACTAAAGCCCGCCAGGCTCCTCTGTCCGTGAAATTATCCAGGCAAGCTTCTTTTCCACTACAAGAATCTTGGAGTGGATTGCCATTTCCTACTCCAGAGGATCTTCCAGCCCAGGGATCAAACCCGTCTCTTGCATCTCCTGCTTTGGCAGGTGGATTCTTTACCACTGAGCCACCTGGGAAGCCCCTTTGCTATACAGAACAGACGTTATATAAGATTTTTCAAGGAATTTGCATGTCAGTCAAATCTTTGAAGCCTGTTGTTGTTCAGTTACTAAGTGGTGTCCTACTCTTTGCAACCCCATGGACTACAGCATGCCAGGCCTCCCTGTCCTTCACTATCTCCCAGAGTTTGCCCAAGTTCATGTCTTGAGTCATTGATGCTATCCAACCATATCATCTTCGGCTGCCCTCTTCTCCTTTTGCCTTTAATCTTTCCCAGCAGTAGGGTCTTTTCCAGTGATCAGGGGGCCAAAGTATTGGAGCTTCAGCATCAGTCCTTCCAATGAGTATTCAGGGTTGATTTTCTTCAGAATTGACTGGTTTGATCTCCTTACTTTGAAACTTAAATTGTTTAAAAAAAAAAAAAAAAAACCATACTGGGACAGATGACTGCATGAAGAATACCATGGTAGATCTTTCTGGAAAGCAAATACTAATCCCCAAACTAGAAACAGCCTTTGTAGGGCAGCCTTACTTCATGGTGTGATGGTATCTGCAGTGGGTTTTGTTTTGTTTTCTTGGTAACAACTGATATGAAGGTAAGCTTTAAAGGTTTTTCCCACGATATACTGGTTAACACTCTTTAAAATGTCTTTAAAGACATTGGTGGGGGAGTGGGTGAATTAGATGAAGGGGATTAAGAGGTACAAAATACCAGTAATGTACAGCAAAGTAATGTGCAGCACAGGAAATATTGTCAATAATATTGTAATAGCTTTCTACAGTGACATATGGTAACAGACTTATCATAGTGATCACTTCATAATGTATAAAAATACTGAATCACCTATGTTATATAACTGAAACAAATATAATTCCCAGGTAACTCAGCTGGTAAAGAATCTGCCTGCAATGCAGGAGACACCCCCCGACCCCCGCTTGATGCCTGGGTTGGGAAGATCCCCTGCAAAAGGGATAGGCTACCCACTCCAGTAATCTTGGACTTCCCTGGTGACACAGACTGTAATGAATTTGCCTGCAATGTTGGAGACTTGGGTTCAATCCCTGGGTTGGCAAGAGCCCCTGGAGGAGGGCATGGCAACCCACTCCAGTATTCTAGCCTGGAGAATCCCCATGGACAGAGGAGCCTGGCAGGCTACAGTCCATGGGGTTGAAAAGAGTCAGACATGACTGAGCAATTAAGCACACACAAGTCAATTACAGTTCCATTTTCTAGAAAATTAAATTTCCAGAGAAGGAAAAAGTGTTCATATCACTGAGATAAATATTCCTTGCTTAGGTGTTCTTTAAAACTTGGCAGTAAAGCAAATGTCTCCTGGTATTTTTCCATTAATTTATATTACATCATTAGTGTTGCATTATGGTCGAGGTATATTTAGGCTCTGAGACTTATAAAAATAATACTTATGATTTTCAAATTGTTCTCAGTATTTCTTTAAACGCTAAGAGGTTTGGTAAATGCCGCTGAGTCTTATCAAAATAATACAAACATATGATAATGTTTTACATTTAGAAAATTGCTCATATGGAAGATTATGGTACTCTTAGCCCCAGCCATCCTTAGAGGGAATAAACACGCCATGAATCATGACCTGGCTCTTTAAATGGAACCTGACATAGAGCAACTCAATTATTAGCCTTTCTCATTAGCGCCAGGCGTTATCTGCTTATATCAAGTAAGCCTTCCCTTCACAATCTAAACCTATTAGCTGCCTGCGGATTTAGGGTGGTTAATAAAAGGGTTGAGACAGCACTGCTTCGTCTGCCCAGGCACCTCTTTATCCAGAGATAATCTCCCACACAGTGATGTGTTCCTCAACTCTGGGAGCACCCATTCCCACATTCCCATTCCCTTCCTTGGCTCTGATCTCCAGAGAGAGTCATAAAAAGCTGGTGACATTGGTTGTCTCGGAGGGAAATTAGATGACTAAGGACCAGGCAGTGTGGGGAGATGACACAACTTACCCTTCTGAACCTTTTGGATTTTTGAAACATAAGAATGTTATCACCTTGTTGAAAATGTTTTTAAATTTAGAAAAATGAAGGATCCATTTCCAAAGTCGTCTTTCTGTCAATGAGGTTTCCAGCATGGTGGCTTTTCATGAGTAGTGTGCTGGCACTAATACCACGACATGCCTGCTATGGGTGTACCGAGAAGACACCTCTAAAAACTCCATCATGAGTATGTTCTCTGAACGTTTGACCTGAAGATGGATTGTAACCCATCCATCCATCTAGAGTGGAAAGATCCACTCTTTCATCTGATTCTCCCAGTTTCTCCAGATACCTCTTGAAATTGAAATGCATCCTAGGGCCATCTGAGAAACATTGGATAAGTGGTTTGTATAAGAGTTCATCCTTTGGCTTGCAGGGTACCAAGCTCTAACCTCTATTCTTTAGAACATTTTCAGCTTGTCCAGCCACATACTGATTTTTCTCCCTGCCCCAGCAGCTGCCCACCTGGTCCACTGTTCAAAACCCAGAAGACCATTTGAAGAGCACTGTACTATTAAATAGGGCCACTGCATTCTGGGAAGAAATCACCATGGCAAAGAAAACCCACTTCCCTTTCCAAAGTAAATGGGATTTCTACAACTTAATTCTTTAAATTATAAAGACATGCAAATTGTTTGAAAAGACTTTACATAAAAAACTAAACTTGAAAATAGTTACAGCTGAATGATAGGATCTATGACTGGTTGTAGCCTTTGATTATTCTGTTTTCCAAATTTTTTAAAATATCAACATATATCAGATTTATAATCAAGAGAGAATATTGCTTTTAAAAATAAACTTCGAATTTTGCAAACAAGAACATTTTTAGAGTATGCACAATAATACTTTCATACATATAATTCTCTGTGGGTGCACGTGTGTGTGCGTGGGTGCTCAGTTGCTCACTGTGTCTGACTCTTTGGGATGGTAGCTTGCCAGGCTCCTCTCCTCTGTTCATGAGATTTTGCCAGCAAGAATACTGGAGTGGGTTGCCATTTCCTCTTCCAGGGGATCTTCCTGACCCAGGGATCAAACCCACATCTCCTGCATTGCAGGAGGTTTCTTTTACCACTGAGGCATCTGGGAAGCCCCTTATATAATTTTATTAGTTTCTATATTATTTGCTTAATATATTAAGCAAAGAATCATTAAATTGATAACTGTTAGAATCAAAATGGACCTCAAGAGATTACTGGCATAATGTTAAGTGGAAAAATCCAGATACTGACTAAAGTATATGTATATAGCAGTGGTTTGTTTTAAAATTCAGATGCATAGGAAAAAGATTGGGAAATAACATTAAAACAGCCACAAAAAGAATGAAATATTGCCATTTGCAGCAACATGGATGGCCCTAGAGAATATCATATTAAGTAAAGTAAGTCAGACAGAGAAAGACAAATATTATCTGATATCACTTATATGCAAAACCTAAAAAATACAAATGAACCTATATACAAAACAGAAACAAACTCAGACATAGAAAACGAACATGTAGTTACCAAAGGGGAAAAAAGGGTAGAAGGGACAAATTAGGAGTGTGGAATTAACATATATAAACTACTATACATAAACTAGATAAGCAACAAGAATTTACTATATAATGTAAGGAATTATATTCAGTATCTTTTAATAACCTATAATGGAAAATAGTCTGATAAAAACTCTTTATATGATTGAACCAATTTGTTGTACACCTGAAACTCACTCAATATTATAAATCAACTCTACTTCAATAAAAATAAATAAATGAATAGACAGATAAAAGTAAGTAATGCCAAGTCTTAAGGAGAAAAAAAAAACCTCTTAATGCTGTGTCATAGAGTGGAGCTATAGGGGTTTTCTCCTCTACTTTTCAAGTTTCCCTAATGTAGTTATGTTTTGTGTATGTGTGTGTGTTTAAAGTAATTATCTAGAGACTTCCCTGGTGGTCCAGTGGTTATGACTCTGTACTCCTAATGCAGGGAAATTGGGTTCAGTCCCTGGTGGAGGAACTAGATCCCACATGCCACAACTTAAATAATACTGCATGCTGCAACTAAGACCTGGCTCAGCCAGATAAATAACTATTTTTTTAAAATACAATAATTATCTCATTCTGTGCCATCTTGAGCTATTATAGCCTATGTAGATTTACAGATAAATCTACCCTTTGAGCTTCTACACAGG